TCTTCGAAGCTTCCAACTTGGCCGGACCTTTGCGTGACTATTTTTTCCAAGTGAGAAAGCTATTCTTTTCAAGGCGTGAAAATAGATGACACTATCGAAGGTGCGTTCGGGGAGCGCGCTTTCAGCGCTAAAAGCGCCTTCTATCTTTGTTCGACGTACAGTGAGTGACGAAGATAGACTGACGTTTTCAGCGCTAATAGCGTCTCCCCGAACGCAGCCTGAGTGTTGCCATGTTGGTACCTCAATATCTAGTGACTTCACCCTTTGTGGACCACCTTCATTGCTCGCATTGGTCTCGCATTGGTCGCATTGGTCGAGAGTTTGCCAATCTACTTGCCTCCGTTCCTTCATGGTTGTTCGTTGCTGATAACCTACGAGGTCGCGTAATCCGTAATACGTGTCAGCCAGTCACCGGTACTTGCCACTCGCCACCAACTTGCCACGCGTTTATATACGTGCATATGTACACGCGAGGAAGACTTTAAAACATCGATAGTGATACATCTACCAGGGAGTAAACATGACGGCGTTGGCTGTGCTGTATAAATTTTGGTCAGAGTACACGAAGAATACACCCAAGAAACTCAAAATTATCGATTCGTACTTACTGTACGTCTTTCTCACGGGTGTTATCCAGTTTGTATATTGTTGTCTCGTCGGCACTTTCCCCTTCAACAGTTTTCTCAGCGGTTTCATATCCTGTGTGTCTTGCTTCATTCTAGGAGGTAATCGCTACGATTACTCGTTACATACAAGTTAAGTTAGGTTAAGTTCCACTCTTATATTACATTTTACACTTTCGTTTTTCAGTATGCCTTCGATTGCAAGTTAATCCGCAAAACCGAAATCAATTTCACGATATAAGCCCAGAAAGAGGATTCGCAGACTTCATCTTTACACATATTATTCTACATATCTTTATCATGAATTTTATTGGATAAAGTCATATTTTCAACAAGAAATCTTATGTATGTTTTCCTACTATTATTACTCTTTCATTTTCATTTTAATATCTTGCGATTGATTAATAAAGTTTCATAAAAAATATAGCTCTGTCTCTGCTCCCTTTTCAAATGTAGAACGAAAATCCATATTCTCCTCGAAAAGGTCAAGTTTAGTCATGTTTCACTGACAATTCCGTATACTTTGACTCAAGTCCGAGAAGGTATGCCAAATTGTTCATTTTATCAAAATGGATGCATCGATGTTAAATCATATCTCTAAAATAAGTAAGCGATATAACTACAACAATCTATAATGCATTTTATTTGTCTTACTAGTTGTACAATGTCACAAGTGTGGAATAGGTATTACATTGCTACAATAGAGAGACGTAGGACACCCCATGCTCATATTTACAAAGATCTTGAAGAAAAGTTCGTTTTGTAATAATAAAGTTACGGCTTCTCGAGAGGGACTCTCGAAAGGAAAAGACTATCCTTTAACTAGCCAGATATTATGTTCTTTCAAAAACAATATAATTTAATAAAGCTCTCATTTATATGAAAATATTCATATATCTTCACACCTATATCTTATTTACACATAGAGGCAATTAATCAAACTTTTAATTTCTCCTCTTGATCTCTCATTTAATTTACATCTGCCTATGAAACATAATACTGTTTCGAATCTTTTGAAAATATATAACATTATTAATGATAACTAGAATAGAAATAGTCAATTTCGTATGCCATACACAGAAAGTTGCCTCAAATGAAAATTATCTTATGTTTCGTCACTTATTGCCTACCTATATATATTATTTATATGCAACTTAGAGATCCATAAAATATATATATATGTATGTATATATGTGTATATATAAATGGTTCGATGTAAATAAAGCTACTTACAAAGTTTTAGTACAACGATGTATGTCGGCAACATTAGTAAAATAAGTTTTTCTCATCTCTTGGATGCGGACAATATGCGCATGCACGCACATACACACACGCACACACACACGCGCACACAAATCTATTTCTTACAGATAATGCATCGTAATACAGGATGTCCTATGACTTAATTCTAATGTTAGATATCCATACTCTTTGATGATGAATTAAAAGTAGATTTTTTTTCTCCAGCGAAAACATACAAGTATAACCATATTTTTGAAGAAATTTCAAATTAATTTTAAGTAAATTCTGAGTGAATTTCAATTTAAGATTTATATTACAAAAACATGCAATAAAAATGAAAAAGCTTTATTCCGTATTACGTGAAAGAATCCGTTATTGATCTTATAGTCGAAAGCCATACGACGCATCCTGTATATCCTACATATATGTATATATGGATACATGTGTTTTCAACGTGTATTTGTGTGTAAACACAGATAAATATTTATGTCAAATTTTATCACACAAGCTAGGAAAAACTGAAAAGCTATGCATGTTGTTATTAAATTTATACAAGTTAAATATGCGTGTTGCACTATTATGGAAATAAATAATATAAACCATAAAATATAAAATTCTTCCATTAAAGTAGGATTTTGTATGTAACTATATATCCGAGTGTAATGAAATATTAAAGATTCGGAAGTTTGTAAAGTTCCGCAAAACTACTTGGCTGAAACTCTCATCACAATATCAGCACAGAGTGTAGGAGAAAAAATTTTATTTATATTAAGCAACGAAATAATAAGTTTTATATTAGGTAACGTAATTGTAATCCAACCCCCAAGCATACTACGGATAGTACCTCACAAGCTAAATATAAAAATTAAATATATCACGTAATTCAAGTTGAAATTTTAATAGTATGCAACAAAAAGCTTGCTACCAATTGTCGCATTTCAGTTACTCATAAATAGTATATGTCAGAATTATTATCACGTGTCATTATTGTAACATATAAATTATAAAATAATCTAAACTTATACTATTATTCTCATCGTATATACCACGTGTACGTATGCGTCATTAAATGATGCAAGAAACGATTTCCTATTAAAGCTGGCAAACTTCCGAACCCCTCGCTCGATTGCATATGAAACTAGATTATATACAAGATTTACAACTTGTTACTCTAATTTTCGTATTTGTGCAAAACAAGTTTACTTTACAAGATCATCAATTCGAAACAGCTAATGTATATCTTAATAAAAGAAACAAGGGCAGATATCTTCCGAAGCATAAATGTATCTGTATTGCCCAACTGTCTGACAATGAGATTAGAAGCTTTCTTCTTTTTAATTTTCATGTTTAGTAGGCAAGCACGTATGTATCTTAAATACAACTTGTTTACAGGCACAAACATAGCATGACTTTGAATCAAAAATCTGGAATTTTGTGTATGTTGCTAGTCAATAAATATATCTTATGCACACATGTCCACACGCGTGGTACATGAGTTTTCTCTCTTTTAGAAACAGCTATTAAAGCTCTAATGAGCATAACTGAATCCATGCTCATTGAATTGGCACGTGTCACTTGAATTTATTTATGGCACTAAACACATACATTAAATTAACATTTAGTGTACTTATCATAACCAGAATACTCTGTCTTTCTTTTCTTTTCTCCCTCTCCTCAATTTATTCATAAATTTATTAAGAATTATTTAGCAAATTATACATATGAGAAAAATAAAAAGTTATGAAACAAAGATTCTTATCTGTTAGAAAGTGGACGACGATGCAGCTTTATTTCAATTTTCAAAATCGAATAACCCGGTATGAGGTCATTCTCCAACAATTTTTGCCAAAACGCCACCGGTGTGATATTTAAATAAATTACGTAAAAATTTCAACGTGTTGTATTATAATTTAGTCGCCTCATTATACCTCTTGTCATAACTTGATGGTATTGAGTATAATTGATTGTATTGATTCAATACTAATCGTTGATGAGTATATCGTTCACAACCTATTCTTCAATGTCGCACCTAATCTCTTACGACTCTCTTGACTTAATTTCTTTTGAGAACGTTAAGAGCACAAACTGTTGGATCATGAAGAGATCTCTCGATATGCTCTCGCTGTATTTAATAATCAGTCATCAGCAAAAGTGGTATGCACCATGTTGTACGTTCCGTAATCTTGTTACGCATATTTTATGGTGTCACATCCGAGAGAAAACAAATAAGAAAACGTACATTCTGTCAATTTTATGTCAACTATGCAGCTCTGCGTATAATTTTAATTGGAAATCATATTAACCGGCCTTATTTCTGCTTACATTTAGGATGTAGTATTCTCAACATTTTCAGTATTCGTTATTTGCGAATTTGTCGAATCAAACTCGGATTTCCGATACTTTTCCAAATACCTTCTGCGTGCCGTTAATCGCATGTGTTCTTTCCGTCGTTGAAGTATAACTTCTCTCTCGGCAGATGATTTCGAGAAACGACCACCAAGGCTCGAAGGTTCTTCTCCGCTATAGAAACAATAATACGTTCGTGACAAACAATAATATTATCTCTCTCATCTTGATTTATCATCCGGGTGATTCGCGATAAATCACTTTCGTAAACTTGGTAATTTCTATATCGCTCTTACCTGTCGGCAACAGGAATATCGAATCTAGGATCTGGTGAATTTTGAATAGAAGAGCTGGGCACAATATTCGTCATAGCCGTTTGTATTTGTGGGACGGATTCTTCTTGCGGTTCTTCGATTAAATGATGTGGTATAGTTAACACCCCGTCGAGAATATTCTCAATTGTCCATTCGACCGATCGAGTCATTCTAAGGTCTTCTAGGATTACATTGCGAGAAAAATGGGGGAAGAGTAGTTGTACCTAATAAAGATGTTTCGTTACGATAAAATTGTCCCTTTTGTCCCTTTTACGAGAGTTAAATATAAGAATGGTAAAAAAAAAGATTACCTGTCGCGCCATAGCATCCATCTGGGAATTAGTGTGCGCCAATGTAGATATGTTGCCGCGTAATCTGTTGTGCGACACCTCGACGGAGAAGCTGGGCAACCAAGACACGTATCTCGATGCATCGAGAAAGAGGAAGAAATGATTACCGTTTCTTCTCGTAGGAGTCTGTGGTTCGGGTGGCATCTCTGGAGTGTTCTCTCTGTGATTCGCTTGCATACTCAGACCCAATCGACAAGTGGGACACGATGTGTCCTGCTCTAGCCAGGATTGCAAGCACGAGTTGTGAAACAAGTGTGTACAAGGTAATTTACGAGCGCTTTCCATCTTCTCCCAGCATATCGCGCAGTTATCAGAATTGTCGGCTAATTCATCTTGCGAAGCCATTGGATAACTAAAAATGAAACGATCGTTTAGCTATTGTACACATATAGACTTTCAGTGTGTTATAGGTAAGGTATAAATAAAATGGAAATAATAACATACTTTTGCTCCATGTGATTCAATACAGCCAAATAGTTTCTGTGTTTCGTGATTCTCCGTTGTATTTCGTAAAACAGATACCTCAGTTGCATACATATCACTAGCGACGCCATGCTCAAAAAGATGTTACTCCAGAGAAGCATGTGAACGTGATGGAAAAAGTCGACTGCCAATACAATCAGCTCCGAAATCAAGTCCGTATAGTAGGTCAACGGACCACGTTTATCCCAAGAACGTTGCGCCGAAGTGCCGGCACCACGAGTATCGTACAGGTGAATCACGTAGCGTAACATGACGTGAATCGTACGGACTCCGAGTAGAATACACTGCGTAATACACCGAATTATATTTTAGACGATGTGCTTTTCTCAAAGCTAATTCGAAAGGTGACGATTACACACTGTGTAAATTCAACAGACACGAAATCATTTTCAATAGAAGAGAAACAATTGCTTACCTCAGCTGCCATAAAAGCAAAAGTATTGAAAGATATGAAGAAGAAGGCTGCAGCGATGCAGAATAGAAGCATGAAGGAAGATAGCACGAGAATTGCCGCTAATAATCCGAGAAGTCGCGCGTGACTCCATCCTGGTGTGGTGGGTGAAAAGGACAACTAAAAGCAAACATTTGGATATATTATACTTGTTGAAATCCATTTTCAGATATCTATTATAAACATTGGAGTTAAAGTAGGACTCTCTCATTAAAACTAAAGGAGAAAGAAGAATGGCCAATTTTGTCCCCATTTGCCCTGCGCGCCGGCTTCTTTTCGGACATGACGCAGTTTTCTTACAGGTGGAGTTATTATCGTCAGTGAATTGCCATATTCAAATCGATAAACGATTTGCAAATATATTACAAAATGTTACAGTCGGCATTCAATCGCCCCTTCTCCATACTGTGAATTTATTTCCATCAGCCAGGATGAGGTAATATCTTTCGCAATAAGAATAAATTAGGGAAAAAGAACCGGTATATATACGAATTGACAATTTATTGGCCATTCTTGTTTCTGGTTTATTTCTATTATATTTTCAAGGATGTATTTTTGCTCTTTGTTATACTCACGTATTCGAATCGATCTTTGCAAAGCTGGCTGAGAAGACTGAGAAAACCGAGCGCCATGAACCATGCCCACCAGAGTACAACTTCGTCCATGTATTGTACGTTCAAAACCCCAAAAACGAAGATGAATTTATAAAAAATAAAATTCCAGAACTTGTCTTTCAAATGTTGGCTCTCTGAGGCACGTAGCTCGCCAAATACGAGCTTTTGAATGGTTTTGCCGAGAAGAATCAACATGCAGTAAGCCATGTTGATTAGAGTCTGTAGAGTAGAAGAAAAGAAAAGGTAAGGCAACGCATTTTCTTCTTAAAATCTTGTATTACGCGAAAGGTGTAACATACATATTTCTAGTTTTCTTTTCTCTGAATTGAATTTAATTATTAAAGAGAATTAAAGATGAGAAAGAGAGAGAGAGAATTTTTAACAGGTGACAGATAGTTGAAATAAGTATTGCCAAATGGTAGAAAGGCCATCTAATTTTAGGCTGAAACATTCTCCGTTTCAATGTCTCGCCAACTATTTTGAAATACACGGTGTCCGAGGTGTAAATTGTTGGAAAAATTTCAAGTACCTACGTATTTGCAGAGATATTTAATTGAAAAAATTGAGCCATGGCTTTTTCTTTTATCGCTATACGTGCCACGAAATAACGAAATCTTGAATCCGAATCTTGAATAGTTTTACACCCACAAAATCCTCGTCATCTCGTAGTGACATAATGTGTGAGCAACACGAGTAAAGAGCGTTTTAGTAAATTATACAACTTGGTAAAAGAAAAATTTGCTTAAATTAACACGGGCAAATGAGTTTGGAGTCTAATGACTACGGCGAAAATTTCAATCTGGAAAAGAAGATACGTTTATACAACGGACATGGAACATGAGTTTCCTAGCGTGAATAGCGTGAACGTAATTGTGTTATAAAAGTCAACTTGGGATATTTGTACGAAAGAAACAATAGTACGACGTAATGACGCGTTAGTTGCGTAATTGTCGTTGACTTGTAACGAAAGACGTAACGTAGGGGAGGAAAGTAACGCGTTGCGCTACAAACTGCCACCGTCATGGGCACAAGTTTTGTGCTAGAAGAAAAATGTACATTCTTGGTGGGAATTGATCGCGATTGAAAATCCACCGTAGTTGCTTTTTTCGCTTTAACCGACAAGATCGTTATTACATCAGACAAATTATGTGGATAATGCGAAAAAAGGATGGAAAACTACAAGTTACTTAATAGCTCTACAGTATTGTATAATGCTCTAACAGTATTATATAATACCAGGAAACTTAACAACGTTCATATAATGTACAAGCTGATGTAACACAGCAATTAAAATAATATGGATAGATGAGGAAAAAGTAGGCATAAAACGTGTATATGTGAAAGTGTGATGTAATGACCGATAATTGACCGATATGAACCTTAGAGATTTGCGGCCATTATAAAAGAAGATGAAATAAACCTACCCAGACGCAGACAGGTTCCACCACCATACATTCCAAGAGTTCTTTGAGATGCGTGCCAAGACCTCTCGGATCAGTCGGATCGACGTCGTCTCCAGGATGGGCTGCCACATCGACGTGCGTGTGATTGGTCCTCCAAGCGGGATCCTTGATTATTTGAGTGGCATAGTATATGGAGCAGGAGAGTATGGTGAAACTAATGGCGGTATACACCCGAAGATTCGGGACCGGTAGCCGCTCCAAAAATTCCATCGGCATGATTGCAAGAGTTTGGCAATTTTCCTTTATTCAAACACTTGTTACATCTGTAATGAAACTTGAATCTCATTGCCAGGCCTCTTTGAAGAAGTCTAGCGGAATGATTTCGCGAGATACGTTGGAGGCAAATCTATCGCTGCACGCTCGTGCGATATCGAATGCGACAAATCCACGTCGCGTTGATCGCCACGTAATGAAAATGCTCTTCCTGGAGAAACAAGCGACCTTGAAGGTTGACCGCGAATCGTAGCGGATCATCACGCGCGGAAAGTAGATCAGCCACGTGACGTACCGTATAGAGTCCTTTGGAAAGAGAGCTGTTTTTACGTTAGTAGCATAGATCTGCTATCAAGCGTCGCCAAACGTCGCCGATCGATCGACCCGAAGTCGGCGACGAGAAAGCGCCTTTCACGCGCGGCAAAGTCGGCAAAAGGGTTAACGCGAACGTGTCGCGCAGTTTCCCGCAAGACGCAGCAATAGCCGTTGGACGCGCCAATTCGATTCGAGCAGATGCGAGATAACGCCTCGCCTCGCCTCGCCTCGCCTCGCCACGCCTCGCCGCGCCGCGCCGCGCCGCGCCTCCCGTCGCTTTCCTTTCGTCAACATTTCCCACTGCATAGTGCATTATTATACTTTCGGAATTAATCTCCCGCATATGTTATATATATATATCTTAGGTCGCGAGCGTGTCGTCACTTTGACTGAATCTACCAATGCTCGAAATGCTCCAAATGCTCCAATGCTCCTACGCATGTGGAAGATGCAATTGCGAAAGGATGAATGTAAACCGGCGCCGGCGAGAAGAAAAACGTTCTCGTTGGCGACACGTGTCGCGTGGTACTTACGCACGAGCAAAAGGTCCGTTGCGAGCGTTTCCCGAGGCGAGCCTTGTGCGTCTCGAAGGACGTCTACATCATCATAAATATCGGCACGGTGCCGCGAAATGACGACGGAAGACCTTGAGGACCGACGCAATACGGACGCGCCGCATCGATTAGCACAGACGGCGAAACGGGCGATCTCTCGCAGCCGCGTAGTCGTAAGTCGTAAGCACACCCGCGACGGATCCTCCGTGGACGATGTGACATATCACGAGGCACCTGCCGACAAGAGCACGGAGCGGTGTAGACTGTATGCAAACAAACGTTGATTCACTACTCGCGACTCGCGAGCGCGACGTGTGTGCACACCATACTGCAAGTGCTCGCTCGGTAATGTCACTCACAGAGGCGCTAGCTACTCTCAGTCACAGAGAAGTGAACGCAATGTCGACTACCACGGCCTCGGAAATGACACCCGTGCTTGGAACTCTGCAGACCGTCGGACCCAGTAATCAGACGTCACCGGTTCTGCCAGCCAACGTTCAGAGCGGTGCCACCGCTCAGCAGACAACCACGGTACAGCCGCAAACGCAGTCTCAACAGACCCAGTACGTTCCACAACCCCCCAAGCCGGTGCAACAATCGTCCGCGCCAACTGCTTTCAGCGATTTCCCCCAAGTACGTTACATCCCCGCCCCCGATTTCTTCGCGTCCCCCTACATCCCTCTCTTTCACTTTAGTTCTTAACCAAAACGAGACTGCAAGACCTGGTAAGGGAAGTAGATCCCACCGAGCAATTGGACGAGGAGGTGGAAGAGATGCTTCTACAGCTAGCGGATGACTTTGTCGAGACGACGGTCAACGCAGCTTGTCTCTTGGCGAAACATCGTCACGCCAACACTGTCGAAGTTAAAGATGTACAATTACACTTGGGTGAGTTATTCTACCAATGTACCAATGTACCAATAACAAATACCATATTTTCACTTTTAGAGAGAAATTGGAATATGTGGATTCCCGGTTTTGGTACAGACGAGGTACGTCCGTATAAACGTGCGACCGTTACCGAGGCACATAAACAAAGATTGGCGCTTATACGAAAAACTATTAAGAAATATTAATCCTCTTGTATTTTATACATTTTTACTTATATCATCCATTCTACTACTGACAAAATTGTCCATTTATCTTGTACATAACTCGCCCTCTTCACACGTGTGCCAATAACATTTCTTTATCTATTAAAAATATAGTAATCTTACAGAAATAACATGTGACTGACATATTTGCTTCGTTCCACTATTTGCACATAAGGAGAAAGAAACAATTTCCTGCGAAATACTATTTAAAAATGCATAATATATTGTAAATTATAGAAACTCTTATACATACAGATATTACACGAATAAGGCGAAAACAGTGACCATTCACTCGCAATATATAAACATTATACAAATATGTTATAAAGAAAATGTTTGCAAGCAGATTTCGCATGTAGCACGTATTAAAAATATATATTCTGTGTTCACATACGCCTATTATATATCATTATACATATGTTATAATTCAAATAGCATTGACAATATACCTCGGATTGCATTAATTATCAGAGATATATCATCGACAATACGCTTGCCGAATATCTCAGTGTTTCTCGAAATGTTTCATTCTTTCTCTCTATAGACACGAAAAGTTGCGAGAAAAATACGTTTAGACATTTCTTCTGACTCTCAAGTTAACAGATATTGTGAAACAATTAACAAACAAAGACAAAGACAGCTACTGCTAATCGCAGCCGAAACGATCCATCAGAACAATCCTATATCTTTCTTGAGATTTACTTGCTTCCAGACTGGGAGTTGTTGAAATTCTTTCTTGCTCATTCCCAGGAGTTCCTACAAATCACACCAAACAAATACATCTGCACATCTTTGTTCACGAGTATTCAACTACTATTACAAGTCTATATACTAACTCGAAAGTGTTGTTGAGATAAATACAACTCTAGGCGCGTTGGATCGACTCCGTCGGGTAAAGGTCTCTGTAACAGCTGTGCAGGAGGATATGTACTTTGCGTCAGGCGAGCCAATTCATTTTCCGCAGTTAATATTTCTCCCGGATTCCGGCCATCCTAGTAATATGTTTAATAAATGTCATGTTGTATACACATTTAGAATCGAAATGTACTAAATATAGGCTCTTTTATTCATAAAAGTATAAGCTAAAGCAATTATTTTCAAGTTGGATTTCTATACATGTCTTTTCTCTAGTAATAGATAAGACAAAAGTGAGGTACCTCTATGTTTAGTTCAGCGACATCATCCCGATACGTCCATTCTGGGAAAAGATTTATAAATTGCAACGGTTCTAAACCTGCCCATATTAAATATATTGGAAGATTCGTTGTTTGTGCGTTTCGAGTCTTTCGCCAATATCGTATGGCTGTCGTCATCGCCGCTCTTCTCTCTGCCTGCCATCGGACAGTTTTGCTTCCAGACTGATCTTCCGTTCCGCTGTCAGGCCACCATCCTTGCCAGATCCAAATCGTATTCTTATCATCCAATAAAAATAAAGCTAAAAGTTAACTCTCATTAGATTAACTGATTAAAACATCAACTATATCAAAGTGCTAAATAAAGATATCGTTACCTGGCTGGTTTGCTTGATACAAATCATCTTGTGAGAAAGGGAACGGTGTTGTGAGGTCCGCACGATATGGACAAAGTATTTCCGTTGCACGAAATTTTTTAGAAATACTGGATAAATGATAAAGCTTTGGAGTATGATCTTGTATTTCAGCTGTTTCCAACGACCAATACAATTTCTTATTTATGCCACCTAATGCTGAAAAATTAAATATATATTTTGACTTTTTTATTCAATTTAAATATCAACCGACTTTTTACTCACCTTTACTAAATCCCTCAGGTTCCCTACTCTCTTCCACTTGGCATATTTCTACGTTACTCTTGTTCGATAATCCAGCTTCTTCCGGTCGATTTTCTTTCAATTTATTTGCAGCTTTTATCGTATTCTAAAATGACAGGAGAAAGTGTGAGAATTAAATAAACGAGATAGAAATTAAGAAATGTAGAATAGAGAGGTAAATAGGAAAAGAAGAGAAAGGAAAGCGATCGAGTCACGTTTTAGAAAGCGAGATGGAAAACGAGAAAAAATCATCATCGTTACTCCATGCTACTTGGAAAAAAGCATAGTAAAATAGAATCATGGTAATTTTAAAATTTTGTAAAGCTTTTATAGCCAAAAACTTTTCGAGATTGCTTATTAATTGATTACTTTAATTCTACTGCTTTTGTTTTTTACATGTTACATGAGCTAGTTAAACACTTTATGTGTGTGAGTATATTATTATTATATTATTGTAGAAATTTATAGCAAGTATACTTCTCTAATATGGCGCAACGAATTGTTCCCATGCCAGATATATAGTTTTGCATTTTCCGTGTCTAGTAATATGAAGGAACTTCTACTTCTTAATTGTCGAGTACTACAAGGGATCTCGATCAAGAAAGTCTCAGTCTCTAAAGTCCCTCGACAAATGTACAATCTCCATCGTTTCTCACATTTTTTCTCAGACTTCTTGCCACTGTGTACCACCATCCTGCCAGAGAATAAATTTAAGAATGCAGCTGGTTCGTGGCCTTGAACAACATGAATCTGTAAAATAATAATTGTAAACATGTTTTTATATTTTGTGCAATATTTTACTTTTAGTGAAAAGAACATTTTTGGAGAAAGAAAGCTTTTCCAATTGACAAACATTCATTTTAAGAAAATAAACTTACAAAGTCTAGTTGGCATAAAATTACTAGTAATAGATAATATTAAACTCACTTGAGGACCTCGATCGCTGTCTAACTCAACCGTCAGTAATGCCGCAGCACCTCGTTCATTCAAGGATGCGTTTCGACCTTGCCAAATAAAATATACAAATCTATCGCGACCTTTTGCCGAGTGCTTAGACGGCAAACCACTGAGTTCTCTGCCTAGAAGCAGATATAAGCGACTACATCTTTCATATTCTTCAAAAATATAGATTACAAAAGAGCTCACCAGTAATTGTGACGGAATACGTCCATTGAACGATATAACTGTCACCAGAATAAAATTGACCAATAGATGATCCATCCAAAAGCGTATGTGAGAATTCATCGATATGCCACACCATAACACTTGTTGTAGCAACGACATACTCCTTCTTCAACTAAAATCAAATTGAATGAAATTATCCATCAGTTAGATTCACCTGCGAATCGCAAACATTGTCGATTATAAATATACAAGAGAAAAGAGTTTCTTATCTAAATGAGAGTGCAATGGGTAATAAATGATGGATAAAAAATAAATAACTTTGAAACTAATACATCTCATTTTCAGCTATTGACCGAAATCTTTTGGTCGTGCTAATAAAGGGACAAATTACTTCGTTGTCGTAATGACCAGTGCCTCTGCCCAAGTGACAGCCCTCCAGAATAAAATCGACCCAAGTGGAGCTTGGTAGCCACATATCGTCCTTTTCATCCAAATGCACAGTTATGGTACTGTCGATTTGCCGCGTATTATCGTTTCGGCCTCGCGTCTTTACCGCACCGGTAACGTTAGGCCAGTCGAGGAATTTCTCCCGGAATAGTATCGTTTCGACGTGTTGCGTCAGCTTGGCAAGTAAACACCATTTTGGCCTGCTTTTGGCCATTTTCGCGGGCGGATTTGTGCGCGAATCACTCTTCTGATTACCAATCATACGGGTCGCACTAATCGGGCAAACGGTACACTCGCTATAATCGTATCCATTGTTCCACATTTCTGTGGCCAACCGCGTAGCGAGTTTCTTCTTGTCCGCCGAAATTTCTTTACCGCTCCAGATGTACATCTCGGTGCCGAAATCGAACACCAGAATCTTTACAAGGTAATAAAAAACGCGATATAATATAATTCCTTGTATAGTTGTTGCATAAATTAACTTGGCTACAAAACGCGATCTACGCAAATCTTTGCATTTCCCATTTCTTTCAATGTGCGTTACCAAAACTGAAACCATTAACCGCAATTTGAAAAGATTTTTGACTTTAGAAACTGAGAAAAAAAGGTGGTTTATTCGAAAAATTATTGCTTTAGATATGCGTAAAATCGAGATGTTTCGAGAACTGCAAATTATAAACTTATGAAAATAAAACTTGGAATTGGAGCAAACAAAGGTCAGAATGTTTTTCTTATCATATAATTTGTCAAGTTATATGTGTATCATTGTATACGACGTATTATTATTGTATATACCAACTTTGCGATGAGAAAAACCTTACCTTGTTCTTATCGAGCATCTCTATCTTTGGAAGCGTACCCCAGAATTTTTCGTGCGACACTAATTGTTCATCTTTCAATTCGTACACCATATTTGTATCGATAATGGCAGATTCGTACAGTTCATCTTCGTCAGGATGGCCAGCCTCGACAACTGCAGTGACACACGCTATGGATTACAATACGCTATGGATGTAATACACCAGAAATAATGTTGCAAACTATGAAAATAGAAGCATACTGTTTAGCTTTTCGCTGTCAACTACTCCAAGATAACTCCAAAATTTGTCAACTTGATTCCTCGAGCAAGTGAGTTTATCGTCATTTATAGTAATTACTTGGACCGCTTGACAGCCTAGATCCTTTTGTTGTTGAATACTCGATGCAATCTCAGCGGCGCGAGTTTTCTCGATAACATTGCTATATTTCCCTATATAGTTGAAAACCTGCAATTCGTCGAGTCAGTTTTATTTGCGATTAGTAACCAAGTTGGAAAGAATGAGCATAAATGTCTTCCACATTCTATTCTACTTATTATTGATTACATTACCTCTGATTTTGTGACCAAGATGTAACTATCACCATTATTGATACTCTCGGCGACAGGTTCGATCAATCTAGCTTGCACGTGCCGTCTTCCTTTAATCAATATCAACATTATGTCTTTATACGGTTGCAACTTGTTCGTGGACACGCTTGTTTCCGACACATTTCTCAGAGTCACTGTACTGAAATCTTCAGTAGAAGCCAATCCGGCGAGAGCCTCGACAGCAAAAGATGAGCTCTTGACGACTGGAATATCGATCCAGAGAGGTGTCAGTCTTAATTATAATTCAAATTCTGAAGAATTCTATGTCACATGATTGATATAGGATGTAACGGGGAGATCTGACAATATACTCACCTTTTCTTATACTACTTGAGTCGTTTGTCGTTCTCATAGATATAGTCGTGCGAATTTCGGTATATTCCGATTTCAAATCAGTCCGTGCCGCGAGAACTTTAAGAGGATTTTTCGAGGCGGCTCGTCGACGTTGCGCTCGTATATTCCGCTTTTGTACTAATCTGCCAAGAAAAAGATTTCGATTATATACAGTTATATTTGCGGACGCACACGCACACACACACATCGATATTTTCAACGATACTCTTCTTTCTGCTTTTTCATTTCTTTTTCTCTCTCTCTCTTTCATCTTTGCACGAGCATAGCAAAATAGTAAAAGCAAAAATTTACAATTCGGATTGTGGTGTGATTATATCAAAGTCAGTTTCATCCAAGGCAAGACATTCGGTCTCGCATTTTTCCAACGACATGCCACTAAAGAAAGAGGTGAACGTTTCATCATCCATTTTAGGTACTGAAACACTCGGCGATGAGGCATGCTCCGTTTTACATTCTTCACCTACAAATTATAATAAACTATAATTTTACTAGCACTAAGAATCTTTCGCGCCTTTCCGCGTTTATTCGTCTGTTTGATCAGGCAATCTCGATCTCATCACGAGCTATCCCAGAAAATGTTAAACATAGTGGCAAATGTAATTGAAAGTAAAAGAAGAAATTTGCAAACAATTTCACCACCTCTCTCTGGGACATTGGCAAGACGAAAAGCACGAAATACGCGATTTTAACGACAATCACTACTAACCGCTGTCATCGCTAACAGGTTCAGAAAAACTTGTGCGCGTGGCGGAAGCTGAATCTTTGCACGGGCTGGTAGGGGTTGATATCGCGCCACTGTTACACTCTGAAAAGATGCTGGCTCTTAACGATTGTTCTCGTCTTACGATACGAAACAAAAAGTAGATTTGATTAACTCGTATATAACTTGTTGGGCATATTTTTGAAAAATGCTTAAACTGTCCCTCGGTAACATAAAGCCTCTTTAGGCGGTTTAGGCAGGTCCTAGAAAATAGTTGGTGAAATCTTTTCGACTCCGCTCGCATGTAAAAGGGCTCACCTCCGTCTTCCCTGATTTTGAACCATTGCGGACGCGGTACTCTCTTCTTCTGATTAGAAGTATTGGCCGCGGCCTCCGTGAGGAACGGCGAACTGGCATCCTTCGACGGAGCTGCTTTCATTTTGCCGGCAACAGTAAAGTTGACCGCGTCAGGTGTTGCGATTCTGTTCTTCCAGTTTTCCGCGGCAGATCCCAGCTTCTCGATGCAGTCGGCCAGCACGCCCGATTTGACCGTGCTCTCTTCGAAGCTGAGTGGCGAGTCGTCGCAGGATTCGTCAACTCTGGCACCGAGCACACGTCGTTTCCAGTTGGTGTTACCGTTGTGACGCAACGCGGCCAACCGATCGGCGATACTCACGCTCGGCGTCTCGCTCGTTTCTATCGACGATACTACCTGCGTCGCGCTTCGACACAGTCCAGGTAGCGGCAGACCGCGTTGCTTCCATCTCTCATCACCTAGAGAGTGCTGGCTGACACTCTTGGCCAACAAATTAACGGGACATTGTGCGACACTGGTCAATTTTTCATCGCGCGTCATGTCGTTGTCGTCCTTTTTCTCATCCTTATTGTCATCGTCGTTATTGTCGCCGTCGATATCCAACACCCTTTGGGCTTTAGGATTGGATCTGCCCGATCCCACCAACGTCGAACCGTCGCGCCCTTCGTTGCTGCTGCGTCTCTCAGATACTCCACTACTCGATATTGTGTCAATTGTGCAGCTACCCACGTCGGCCGGTAAGACAATTTCATCATTCCGAAATAATGCAGCTCTATGAGAAGGCACTGCGGCTTCGTTTTCCGTGTTATCGGCTTGCTTAGAAACGTTGGTTCGCGCCGTATTATGATTAGTCGCTACATCGAAACAATCTAATTTCTCGCGGAATTTAGCAGTCTCGCTAGCCGAGTTTTCACTCTCGACGCTACACAAGCCTCGTTCGCTTCTCGATATCACTGCGTCAGCTACGCTCGTTGTCTGAATGGGCCTCGAGTAAGAATTACTTTTTAGAATGGAACGCGGATATATCTCAGAACTCGGCAATATCGTCGCTTGCTCCGATTCTTCGGATTCTTTCTTGAGCACAGACTTGATCAATTTCATACCTTGGAGTTCCGGGCTTTTGGCACGCGAGAGATTTTGCGTGTAACCGCTGGATGACTTTAAAATACTTTTTGGTACGTCATGCTGAAGCGCTGCTGCAAGCGGTGGCGAGTGAAGCGATCGTTGGCATTCTTTCGAGCGTCCTGAAACAACCAATTTACCGTTAATCGTTGATTGTCGCGAGACGATACAATCCAATACGTACCCTCGACCAAAGCTTGAACCTGGTGATTCAACGGTGATATCCGGGACGCCACTTGAACCTCTTCGGATGTCACGGGTTGCGTTTTGTAGCGGGTAGATTGTCGCCTACTTTGACTAAACTTTTCGTGGTATTCGGCGCTTCTCGCAGCGATTTCCGTGGTAGTCGCGATCTTTTCATCGAAAAGACGCACGCGTTCAACCAGGCTTAGCTTGGACGGCTCGGGCTCGTTATCGGTCGTAGCCGCGTTGCTCAACGTTGCGGCGTTTCGCTGATTCTGCAGGACCGCCTCGCGCACTTCCTCGAGAGTCACCGGTTGGGTGTTGAATCTGTCGCCGCCCTGTACCTTGCGCTCGCGATAACGTTGAATTCCCCGCGATAATCTCTGCGGAGGCGTGCGCTGAGAACCGTTTTCCGCGCTCGCGGCGTTTGCCTTCTCTTGCAAAACCTTGAAATGTTGTGTCATTTTCGATACGCTGTTGCTACGACAAATAGCGGCGTAATCCTCGTAAACGCTCTGCCGTCTCTCCTCATCCGCCGCCGCTTCTTTCTTGTCGATCGTGCGAGTGACAACCTGTACCGCGTCGCGATCGCAATCGTCGTCGCCGCTCTTCTTCAAATGTATGTGCGAATCTACCTTATTCTTCTCCTCCATACCGCCGTTTGTATTGACTTGCTTGATTTTACCGGATCCCTCGCACAATAGCTTACTTTCTTTAATTACACCGGAGCTGTAAGAAATATATACGTATACAATACACTGGTATTAATACCTAAGTATCGCTCGATAAACCCGTTTTACTCATTTTTGTTTGTATGTTGTTTCTTTTTTTAAAGAATCGAGTACCGTGAGTCGTTTATTCTCACAAATACGTTGCACACGACTATCCCCAATTTCTGGTAGCTTTGAGAATCGCTAGATGATCTATAATTAAACTTGGCACGGGATCAAAGTCCCACTAAACTCGTGTATCACTGCAGCAATTGCAAAAGGCTAATGTTGCGCTGCAGAATAAACTTTTTTCTCATATGGGAAAAACGTTTTTGGAAAGGGGTTTTGGCTAAATTCCTTTTCCGATGTGAAGAAAATTGAGTTAGTGCGATCCCGTGTGTGCGAGCGAACAATTGAATTAAAGTGAACGACAGTGTAGCTAGAATATATCTTTTTAACAGATTTAAATAAGTGACACTTTCCATATATTTTCTAAACTCTTTGTGTTTAGCCAAAACAAATTTTCCTACGAGAATTGGAAAGCAGCCAATAAGCTTTCTCATTCATTATCATTTTATAGCGGGATGCCTGGAATTTTTGTGTAAACCTTTGAAAAGAAAAGCGATTCGCAAAGAGAGGAGAAGGAGGAATGGTCCGTTACGAGTGTCGTAAAGCATCCTTGTCGATACATATTTAACGTTAGAAGTGCATATATCGTGCGCTGATATACGGTACATCGATCGAGACGTACCTATTTGCTGCGTAGGAAAGATCGGTCGTAAAGCAGCGTCGTGTGGTCGTCGGAGTATACAAGACGTCGATCGGCGAGCTGGACTCGAGAGATCTTCGCTTGGCTAAGACGCGACTCGATTCGACAGAGTCGTCACTGTTGGCGGATCGCGCGTGACCAACGGACTGCGCTCTCTTTCGCAAAAATGAGTCCGCCGTTAAATCAGAGGTATCGTCGTAGTAACGGCTGCCGCTGGACTGTTTCAATATAGGTCGCACGTTTTCGAGCTCGCTCGCTCGATTCCTCAATACGGACAATTTTCTCGGAGAAGTCGACTCCGTCTCGTAACCGGCCTCCTCGTATGAATTCTTCCGCGAGGACTTTAGGATCGTCTTCTTCGGTCTATCATGCTCGTGTTCGTCCGACTCGGTACTCGATTTCTTCTTGAGTATAGGCCTCGGCTCGAGGGACAAGACGTCGCCCCCGACGAGTTCTTCCTTGCCATACTTTTTCTTCAATATCGGTCTCACTTCAGACCCCTCGAGACTTTCGGACACAAGGCTCGCGCTCGCGTTGGCGATCGTATTTCCACTCACCGCCGTACTCGCGAGGTCCGACGCAATTGTTACGTGATGAGTAACGCTGTTTGCGCGCACGCTGTTTGCGAGTTTTCGTTTCAGGATGCTTTGCGGTTCCGGAGATCCCAGTGATAACCGATGAGTCTCTCTGTCATCCTCCCTAGACGATTTGCGTTTCAGTATGGAGGCAGGTTGTTGATCGGGACTCTGATCTCTCTTGACGATTTCATCCAGTGAGGAACGCCTTTGATTTTTCAAGATTGGCCGAAATTCCGAGTAAACGTTGTCGGCGAAGGAAACATCGGGAGAACAGCTACGACGGCGTAATATCTCGTTTTCGTCCAAGCTGCTCCGTTTTTTCAAAATACCGTGTCGCTTGTGGGAAACAGATTCCGTGACGGACGGCGAGAAGGTAACTGGCGAGGGCGCGTGAGAGCCGCTAGACGACGCTTGGCGTTCGCCTCCTTCGCCGTCAACAGTTTTATGTTTCAGAATTGAAACTGGCGTGTGCCGGAGTGTGACACACCTTTTCGGCGACATTGACACTTTCTCGGCGACAACATGCGCGTTGTCAACCGACTGATTCGCAGACGCGAGTCTTTCCACACGTTCCATGGTGGCACGCGTCAGCGCCGTTAACTCGTCCACTTTGCGCGAAACCTCCGAATCGCCTGCACCACCACTGAGAAACAAGAATTATTTCCAACTAGCACATTTCCCTTCTATTATGTGATATACTTTTGTCATTTATATGTACCTAGATTGCTGTACACTTGGACGCTTTGCATTTGCGGCAGGCATGACGGTAGGTGAGGTATAAACTTTAGAAAGATTTTTCGTAATGCTATACCGAGTTGCAGCTTTCGAATCGATATGTTTTCTACGCAAATTGGTCAGCTGACGACAGGAATCAGCAGGACTCGACACCGTTTCGGATACTGGACTCCGCTTAATATATTGCCTTCTGGGATGTCTCTCGCTAGACTCGACTAAAAATTTCACCAGGTTATTCAGAAGATTATCGAGAAAAGGCTGTCCGATTATGAGCATTTCAGTTCAAAGATGAGTTCTTTGAAAATGTTATTGCAATAAAATATTCCTTACCCTCGCTTGAATGATCAACAAGCGCTGTGTCCACATGACGCGATCTATTCAAATAAGATTTACGTTTGTAGGTCTTGTCTCTTTCCTTGACAGAGTTCATGGTGACATCGAGGGACGTGGAATTTTTCTGTGTACAGATATGCAACATATTGTGCCTTTACATTATGTGTATTCAGCTATTTTCAGGGCATGTACAACTAGCAAGTTGAGAAGCATATTAATACGATATAAAAATAGGAGAGAAAATAGAAAGAGTTGGAAATATATTTACTTGCTTAGCTGATGAGAAATTGTGCCGCTGAGAGTCGGGAGTCTCCGATCCAAGTAATTTTTTAGACGATAAAGTCACATCTGTTTGTACAAGGAGACAATTGATTTATATGTCAAGTCTGTACACACGATGACAGCATGACAAGGGAACGTTTACGCACCATTGGGTAATACTATAGAAGCGGCTCGTAATCTAGAAGTTCTGGTCTCACGAATCTGAGCAGTTTTGCAGGTGGCAAAATTCCTCGAGCTGTCCTTTGGCTCAGCCTTAGGTATTATTTTACCAATCTTTTCTGCCGGACTGCGTTGCTTCTTGTCTACTGTAATATAAGTAGACTCTTAGAGATGGAGCGTAATAAAAGCAGATTCAAGCCAACACCACTCGGAAATGTAGATATAAATGACTGGAGACACTTACTGATATTCAAAGAACAAGTCGCTACATCTCCTTTGATCGAGTCAAGGTTCCTTTGACCAGAACGCTCTATCTCGCTGTAACGCGAGCAAGTACTGTGGTTTATCGAGCGTGCTGTACTTTCTGTCTCGTTTGACGAATTCTCCTCGCTAGCTGCCATCAAAACTGTGGCTCCGGCAGCTACCATTACTGAAAAGGAGTTGTAATATTTTTATCAACCATCTACGTCTCTTTGGCACGTGTTTTTAGCTCCAACTCGTATCACATATAGCTGTGTAGATGTAGAACGTTACGGGAATTATTCTCGTCAGCTTTGAAATGGATGAAACATATGTAACTGTGAGAGTGGAGCAGAATATTGCTAGTGAATTTTCGAGTGTTGAAGGTGTGAAAAGAAATGTGCTGTACTCACTTGATGCGAATTAATACGAATGCGAATGGTCCTGTGACGCGGCCATAATTTCACTCTCAGCGAACGATGCGTAATCGGCTTACGACTAAAGTTATCACAGCTACTTGATAAGTACTATGTATAAAATGATAGAAATCGCAAGGTAATCAATCTGTACAGTAAACTCGCGCGAATCGGAGTGTAGCGAAACGGCTACATCGTTTACATCGTTGATCGAGGATGAGAATTGGCGATTAAATAAAAGAAAACATATCGGCACGTCATTCTGGCGAACTGATTGTGTCAGTGCCCAGTCAGCACCAGTGCGGGGCTGGGGCGCCTTTCAAGTGGAGAAAGTTGCCTCGAGTTGTCGCTCCGCTCGCTCGTCACCTCATTCGCTCGATCCGCTCGATCCAAAAGAATATATCTCTATACAAACTAAAGCTCAATGTCTATGTATAATCGTTGAAAGAGAAATGGTCAATCAAGTTGATGATTGTACCGCGATATCGCTCGATACCGCAAGAGACAAGCTTAATGCCCATTCTACACCTAGGGATGATCCTACTTGTGGCTCATCCGATACTCGCTTCTATACCTAAAGCTAACCCTACTTACAGCTTATCCGAGGGAGTAGTATAAAGTGTAAAAGGTTTACACTTTGGTTGGTTTCCAATCGTACCAAAGTACAACTACAGTGTACCTTTTACACTTTATACTACTTCCTCAATAAGCTGTAAGTAGGATTAGCTTTAGGTATAGAAGCGAGTATCGGATGAGCCACAAGTAGGATCATCCCTAGGTGTAGAATGGGCATTACTCCTCTATGATCCTCGAGTGCGACCTCTGTGGGCATAAACTACGTAGCCAATATCGACATTTTGACGAGTGGGTAACGCAGATTTATCCAATACTTATAACTTTGCATTTTTTGGCTTATTTTGGATGCAATGAAAACAGGCCAACTTGTAGAGATATTTCTTGGCAAGCGAGTAAGATGATTGGCGCTGGTGGGCGCCGCGCGCGGTGACGCACATGAGCCGTCAGCGCGCGCGGCAGTTTGATTTGACTAGTATTCGTATCCATAGCGACCGCGAAGTATGGCCGCTCGATTAACAGTTTGCTGCGAATGACACCTACGCAACAAGAAGATAGTCGAGTGCGTGGAAGGCCAGCTCAGCTAATCCAGAAGCCTGCCTCCACGTTTCATTCCGTGAGTATAGTTTTACGATTAATGCCGGAGCGACGAGACTTGCGAAAGGAAGTCAATGTCGCCTTCGTTGATGACTTCACTTTGCCGTTCGCCGTTCGCCGTTCGCCGTTCGCCGTTCGCCGTTCGCCGTTCGCCATGCGACGATTTCAAGAGCGCCGATGCAAATTTTACCGCACGAACAGATCGCGATTTCGGAAAGGAAACTGCTGTAGAAATTAATATTTCCAACATATTGTTATTTTTTTCTTTCTAAAGCAACAATCTTGGGGAAAATAGTGCGAAATTAGTTGAACCATCTTGGTAAAAAATATTGAAAATGTTGGTGAACCTCACAGCTGACTATAATTTCAACTGCTTACGCTTATACATATTATCGATTTGTTATATCGTGAATAAGGGTGATTTTATCGACATTCGACGTTGTATTTCGCAGCTCCAGTTGAGTTGAATTGCAATGAATTGCAGAAAATTTCACCTTTACGTTGTATATGATTGGCTAGGGACACAATTTCTATCTGACAGTCGCTGACAAGAAAATATCAAGTTTACCAGGCAATCCGTTGTTGAAATCGATGGGCAGAAAATGACGGGACACTCGGTACTTTTGCGTCAGTCGGTCGGGGCGATTGGGTCGAGAAAATCTATATCCTTGCATGTCTGGCCCGCACGAAGATCGTTCGCGTAGCATGCGACCGTAAGAAAATGCTAATCTCGGCGCGCGGCGACATATGTATATATATATACGGTCGGTGTCCTAGATTGCGCCTACGAGCTTCTCTTGCTCCTTACAATTAGGTACAGGAATGGTGTAGAGCTTCTCCTTTCGAGTTTGTGCAGTGTAAAAAGTTTCTCTCGTCGATAGATACTATTACTATGACAAAATTGCCATTTTGTCATGGTGGAGAAACGTGAACGCGTCAATATCAAATATTTATCGTGATATGGAATCAATAGTTTGGACGCCGAGTATTCATTTATACAAATTGTAACCTTGTAGTAATATATTATCCAATTGCACAATTACAGCAAATGCGATAAAAATGATGACCGATTCCAGTGGCGCACAAATACATCCTCCTTATAATCCACTATGTAATAAGAGCTACAAGAATTGACAAATCTCAACAGCGAAGATGAATCGATACATAACTTTGAATCAGTTGGGTGACGGGACCTTTGGTTCTGTCGTTCTCGGGGAACGCATTGATACGGGTGAGAAGGTGGCCATAAAGAGAATGAAGAGAAAATATTATTCTTGGGAAGAAGCCATGAATCTGCGAGAAGTCAAGGTACTTGTTTCTTTTAAATCATTTCTCCTAAACCAATCATTTTCTCTCCTATTTTATTGCAGTCATTGAAAAAGCTTAGTCACGCAAACGTCGTAAAACTGAAAGAAGTTATACGGGAGAACGACGTGCTGTATTTCGTATTTGAATACATGAAGGAAAATCTTTATCAACTAATGAAGGACAGGTGTATAGCAGTTTGTATTCTATCGTAGATATTATTCGATAATGGTCTTTTATTCGACATGTTTTTCGTATTATCGTAGAGAGAAACTGTTTCCCGAGCCGGTAATAAGAAATATGGTATATCAAGTATTGCAAGGTCTCGCTTTCATGCATAAGCATGGTTTCTTTCATCGCGACATGAAACCGGAAAATCTCTTGTGTATGGGTCCCGATTTAGTAAAGATTGCTGATTTCGGACTAGCGAGAGAGATCCGATCGAGACCACCATACACGGACTACGTATCAACAAGATGGTAATCTATAAACGTTCTTCTAAAGCAAATTCATCTCTTCAGTCTCATGTTGAATTTGTTGATAAACCCCTGTATAGGTATCGGGCACCGGAAGTCTTGCTACATTCCACGACTTATAACAGCCCGATTGACATTTGGGCCGTCGGTTGTATAATGGCTGAATTATATACGTTTAGGCCCCTCTTTCCAGGCAAAAGTGAGATCGATGAAATATTTAAAGTATGCTCTGTAATCGGAACACCCGATAAAGAAGATTGGCCAGAGGGATTCCAATTAGCCACAGCTATGAATTTCAAATTCCCCAATTTTACGCGTACATCATTGTCCGTGTTGATACCGAATGCCAGTCAAGAGGCAGTTATACTCATGGAAGATATGTTACAGTGGAATCCTATTAAGAGACCAACAGCGCAGCAATCGCTCAGGTATATAAAGTAATATATCAATTTAACCAATCATACTAGCGAGTATTTGATCGTGTAATCTTTCAAAAATTATCTCATTTTAAACAACAATTTTCCCAATTTTTCTCTTTCTTTCTTCCCTTATCTTAAGTATCAGTATTTATTTTATTAAAAGTAATGCTAAGATTGTCCACTAGTGGCTGTTATCAAGGGTAATTTCAGGTATCCATATTTTCAAGTCGGCGACCCACGTATCATGAATAGTAAAAAGATTGGTGTCGTATCTCAACGAGAACTCGTTATGAACAAAATGAATCTTCCACCTCCCGCGCCTAAGCAGTATAATTACTCTCAAGAAGAGCTTGTCGTTAGCAGCCTAGTTGAATCGAGGTAACCGTACGCTTTAGAGAATTTTCGTTAGTATGAGACAGTATCGCAATTTGTACAAGTTATACGTTGAGATTATGAAGAATATCTCGCGATAAATATAAATGCACAAATTGAATATTTTTAATATTTGTAGAGCACCAGAACAGATGCTCGTTGAGACACAACAGCAGCCGGCGGCCTTGCCGTTGCTAAATCACAATAAACGCGATAGCAATGCCTCTAAATGGGACGAGGACGACTTGGCCGATATTCTAGGGTGTGTTGCATAATTTTTCTACACGACAAGTTGTTGTTTCGTTCTTCCGTTATATGTACACGCTATGTCCTCCGGTTAGCTCCGATCTAATCTGATCTAGTCTGATTATTCATATCAGAAGCAAAATCATCCCAGAAAATCCAAGCGCGGCGCTCATCCCAAATCGCGTCTACAAAGAAAATCGTGCCAATTGGAATGCCAGCTATCAGCAATCCGACAATTCGTATGGCAATGCGAATTGGCCTGTACCAACGTGGAAGGAATCACCGTCGAGATTGTGGAATCAGTCAAACCAATCCAACCAGGTGAAAAACTCGCGTAAGGTTTCGGCGAAACAGCACTACCTCAGTGTGGCTCGGTACGTCGCAGGCCAGACCACAAATTTGCCATCCAGGTATATAAAATTCCCAAGTCCAATCCAAAGAATTCTTATCACATGCACGATGTTAGTGATCGGTCATTTCTTACTACAATTGCAAGTTGGACGTAATATATTTTCCGACTATTTAACAAATATGCTCAAATTTATGCCATTTGGAAAGAAGCATTCTCGAACAAGACGGCCTTACGATATGCTTGTCCGCAAGACAATTTACATTTTCGCTAGTATTACGCAAGATTTAGCTGCTCAATTGTCAAAAATCTCATTTCCATTATTTCCATTGAATTTTTCCACACATCTTCAATATCTATGTCGAGCCTTATCGACTCACTTTGCCGACTACCTCGTCAAAGGTTTCACGATAATAGCAGATTTGCTAAATCAAGGTGTACAAACACTCGTGCTACATATGATGTATGTATTGCGATATATCTTGGCAATTGTTGTTCTAATCATCGAAATTTCGACAAGACGCTCATTGCATTTATTGGATGCCGGTAAATGTATACTGAATGGAACCATTTTTTTTTAATTAAAATGCACGAATAATAAATACCTGTATACTTAATAATTGTACTGAATCCTTATGTAACCCCTGTTGTAAATTCAAAGTGTACAATAAACTGTTACTCTATATATACACTAATTTATTTTCTTCTTATTTTCTATTTATTTTCAAGAAATGAGGATTCCGATATCAACCGGTCTAAACTGCTATTAAATGGATTCATCGATCAGGCAACATCCAACAAATATGAGGATTTTACAGGGTCCTTTTGGGGGTCTAGGAATAATATTGAGAATCAAACAAGGCAACATTATCTCGCGCGAAACCGTTATATCACCGAACAAAGCTTGAGATTACCTTACCCCAGTGTGTACGGTACCCAAAATATCAGTGAGTACTTTACTACAAGTACTTGTATATACATTTTGCTATTGCATTCTTGCTTAAGAAACGGTGTCATTTTCTTTATTAATTTATCGCAATAAAATATTGCGGTGCAAAGGTTGCTTTCTTCTATTCCAAAATAACATTTCGAATACACATTTTTTGAGTAAGAATGCAGATGCTATGACGCTCTATTTGCGCATCGCGAATAGAGAAAATTAATAGGTTGCGATATATAGTAGCAGTTAATATGATATCTCTTTTCGATAGAGACTACAAATAGGCCTATGTTTCAACCAAATTTTGGGAATGGTTTCAACACGAAAGCCAGCAGTGGGCCTCACGGCCGAACAGATTGGGCAGCGAAATACCTCAAATGACCGTTGTAAAGAGATTTCTTCTCCTTTTCAAATCAAAAATTTTATCGTCGTGGTCCTTATTTCTTTATTAAGGCGAATTTTAACTGTGATAGAACGATTGTTGTCGTTCCATTGTGACAGACACACACCAGTAGGAAGAACACGCTTTTCTCTCCAAGTGAGCTTTTACGAAAGTAAAATCGCGCTTTAATTGTGAAGCGTGACATATCGAATAGTAGAACGAAATCGTCACGGTATTGTTAAATTGCAGCATTTTCATATAATCCAAGTTCTAGAAACGGTTATATACCCATACAGCACGCATGTCTAAAAGACATCTTTAAGGCATCTTTAAGTCGTCTTTTAGACATACATATCTAAAAGACGACTTAAAGATGTCTTTCAGACATGCGTGCTGTATGGGATAGATTGCTGTCATCCATGTTAGTTGATCATATATGAAAAAGTTTAATTTTATGAGAAACAAATGATATGGATGGAACGCGATCGTGTATATAGATTTATAAGATACATTATGTTATATACATAATATATATATACATACACACACTTGTGTATACATGTATGTATGTTTATATATTTTTTGTTTGTACATATTAATTGTATGCGGCGTGATCTTTTTGTGACATTTGATTGTAATATGATTTTCGAGAATCATATGGATTGTATAACAGTATATCGTAGGGTATATCAATCGTAATATTTATTCAGTGTAGAATCAATGCCAAAGTCACGCCGTATCATATATAATAAAATGTACGCAGATATGGTATTAGAATGAAAAATATAATATATAACAAATAATGCACAAATAATACATTCTCTATTACATATATGCATTATACACAGCATACTTTTGTCACACTTTACCTGTTATATTTTTCAAAGATGTCGATGTGATTCTCATATTGATTGGACAAAGAATGAAACTTAAAATTATGAAACGACACGCAAAATTAACATAACGTAAAACTTTTGCTCTAGATGATAAAGAGGTTTTAAAAAATAAAGGGGGGGGGGAGAAGTTGCAAATAAATTTTAAATTAATAAAAAAATATATAGTAAAAATATTGATGTAATAGATAAGAAGAGAATTCTTTCTAGACGTATGAAAATATTGATAAATTTCTCAAACAGATAATATAAAATTTCTTAAAATTATGAAAGAATAAAAGAAAATGTTTTTATTATGATGAAATTTTAATCTTGAATTATTTGTATATTCTTAAAACAATTTTAGATGCAAATATATCAAACCGGTTATTCTGTCTCTTTAATGTTTGCAAAATTTGTTGTTTCAATATGTTGTCACACGGGTGTCATTTGGTTTTAAATGTCTGATTTTTCTTCAAATTGATAAAAATGGGTTCACACAATATATAAAAGAGAAAAGAGTATATACTTTACTAAAGGTTTCTTTTTACTTTATATAGCATAAGAATAAAATGTTTAAACGCATTTGTTTTAAAATATTGTAGTTTTCAAGGCGTTTTTCGCCAAAAGGATGTACATCAAGCATGGTTATTTTGCTATACTCTGTATAATCATACATATGAATTTCCAGAAGGGGTTGATATGTCATCTATGAATAACGCGTATACATTGAATCATCACTACAATCTTGCATAATCGGAATAATTAATTAATCTTAGAGACAAGTTATTCGAGTGTTGTTTTTTTTGGACGTATGTGTTAAAAATGAAAAAGAAATGAAGAAATATATTTCATTAATCGCATAATCGAGTATATTATGTTTTTTCCCATCATATCACTACTTACTTTTATAATCTTTGATTACAATCTCCTACATAACACCGGATATGTATTGAGCAGATAACGCGAAAAACGAAGCTGGAAGGGTAAAAGAGGGGACGCTTTGTGTGTGTATGTGTGAGTGTATGTATGTGTGTATGTGAGAAAATCGATTTTCTCCTTCGTCAAGTGGTCTGGACGTATCATAAATATCTTAAATCACATTCGCATTCACTAGATGTGTATTATTTAACAACGTATCGCAGCCAGATATTAAATTAATATACATGACGAATCTGTAACTGACTAGACGTAACTTGTTGAAATTAATAATAAATGAAAGATTAAATTCTTAAGTTCAAATTAGATCCATAAAAATCAATAAAAGGCAAGGCAATCTTTTGCATATCGAGTTGTCAATTATTACTCAGTATTGTCCATTTCTTTATTACGGGTAGTTGCAATAATATAGTTAAATATGATTCTATTTCTTCTTGAAAATGCATCTAGAGAATGTATCCAGTGAATGTAAAATAATTATGACGTCTAGTGTATCATATAAATATACATTTTTTATATTTACGTATCAACTATTCACACATGGAGATGTATATAACAACTTGACAGAATATACTCGTGCGATAACTTTATCAGCAAAAATTTTTTACTTGTCAACTATCAATAGTCTAACAGTATATCACGCATTGGAACAGTAACAAAAAAAACGTATAGAATAAGTACAAATTGGTACATACAATCATTTTTTTATCAAAAGAATAACAACAATTTTGCTTTCTTACGACTTTCAAAAGTATTCGAAAATTTGCCAATGTGAAATAAAAGGCACGCGATACCCTCCGATAAAAAGGAAACATTCGAAATTCTTCACATCTCTCATAAATTGTTCATTATGCACAATGTTTTACACAATTATCTCGATTCCTTTGTGCGTGTGTTTAATCTGGCGATATTTCAGAACAATTTCAGATAAAACTATATACATATACATATAACTTGCATATAAATAAGTATCAATGAAAACAGTAGCAATGTCTGAATAGAATCTCCATCAAATAAAATACAAAATTCAATTCTTATTCGCGAACTAACTAGTATATTATACTAGTATATCAGTATATTGCTAGTATATCATACTATTAATTTACAAGAATAACGGGAGCACTTTAAGTTTGCGTGCCAAACATCTAATGTACCCAACAAGTTACGATGTTTTTATGATTTGCCAATTTTATTTTTCTCTTCTTTACTAAACTCGATTTGCTACGTTTTTATGTTTTGTTCACGTTATATATAGTTTTAAAACTTATTCTTTGCTCAATTTATATATACACGCACGCGCAACATACACACACACGCGCGCACACATTCATGTGGTTTTTTTCATTTTTTATATTATTTTAGTACTTGTTTCTTAAAAATTCATATTCTTTTTATAGAAGTTTTCGTCCGCGCGAAACACTTAGAAATGCTTTTTCAACATTTTATTTATAACACGAGTTATCTGAATTATATTACACAATCACATGCAACAAAATTACATACCATTTTTAAATCTTTTAAGTAAAAAATCAATTATAAAATGACATAATAGAAGCAACAATACAAATATTAAACTTAACAATTGATAACAAAAGAAAATAAAATCAAATGTGATTATATACATAAATATATATTTTTTGTTTGAAATATCAACTTAAAAAAGTCTAACCTTCCTAAATATTTAGCCTTGTAACTTTTCAACTTTAATATCTTCTTCGACATGCACACACTTGTTCAATCACAAACATACACACATTTTCTCTCTTTCATATATTTATGTGAAAGCACCAGATTTAACACAGCACACAAGTATATGCGTCCTAATGTTGCAAGATCGCGTTGCTCGCCGAGGTAACGTTAACTAAGATCTTTGGTAAGGCCGTCGTTGACGCATCCAAGAATCCTCCGTCGCTCAATAAGCTCACGGTGCTGTTTGACAATAATGTTGACATCAGGATCGTAGTTAGCACATTTTCAGTAGTCTTCGGCTTCGGTACCGCCGTTGTTCTTTCAATGATAGGTAAAGTGGAAGAGATTGCGGTTGTTAGGATGCTCGCCGTTACATTAGCTAATGCAGTTGTTGAAGTTTGACCAGCTTGGACCTTTGCTATCTTCAAACATACGTCCTTGGCTTGTACAGCTGGTCCAAGACAAGCATCCATCATATATGCCAATAAAGATCCAATAGTCAAACCAGTAGTGTATGACAAGGTCATAATATTACCTTAGAAAATATTGAGTATTATTAGGTCTTGTATATATTAATCTTAAAATTTATCACACGTTATTATGCATTTTCCACTTGTTCCAAATAATAGCACCCATTATTTACACAAATTTAAAAAATTCTTAAAATTAAATATCAAGATATTGCAACTATTTTATTTTTTAGTAGTTAAAAATGAAATGATTTTTTTGTCATATCCTAATAATATGCTCATATGCCGACATTTCCCTCTTTTCTCTTTGTTCTTACCAGTACTTTGAGAGAGGTACTTGGATTTATACCTGCAAGTTCTCGATGTTCCTCCGGTACTTTGCTAGGTGCCTGAATCATAGGTATGGAACCAACTATACCATTTGTAAGGCCAAGGAGCCAAGAGAATAGGAGCGGATATCCCTCACCAGAGAGAATAGGAGCACCACGCGGAATCGCGCAAAGCAAAAATAGGGGAATAAGTATTACCCGTGCGCTAGAGAAATAAAGCAGATGAGTTCGTTTCCATTCATAAGGTATCAGAGCAAATACCTACAAAAAAAGCCAAATTCTCTTCATTATAATCTCATACATAAGAAATATTTTCTCTTGCTGTTCTATTCGTTCCATTTTTATTTTTAAAAGGCAATATTTAGTTTACTGTCGTAGTATTTTTAATTTCTCACAGCTTTAACCATTTGAATTTGAATAATAACAAATATGTTAAATGTAGAAGAGGAACAGAACAGTAAGATGGAGGCAATTTGTATAATTAATGATACCTTGCCGAGTAAGTCAGAGGCGTTAAAAGCAGTCATCAAAATAACTGGCATCCATGACTCGAATTTACAAGATATTATTTCTGATACAATTCCTGGGTAGAGGCAGAGTGTTACGAAGTAAGCAGCACCAATGCTGGCCATATAGGGAAAGATCAATTTGGCGACTTCGAGTCGCGCGACCAAACCTCCTAAAAGATATCATTTTAAATTGAACAACGTGTGTGTGTGTGTGTGTGTGTGTGTGTGAAGCTGTTTCATATTCCAAATTGTGACTAGATCTTTACAATTATCCTACAACGATGATATATATTCATGAATAGCATAATTAGAAGTCTGGGTATAAAAACAGTTTACGTATGAATTCTCACTTTTGATGCCGGACCATGGTGTACTTGTGCTTTGTGTTCCATAGGCTCCTCTCATAACCACGACATCTTCAACCTTGTAAGTCGGTCCAGCGCTACCAGGTGGATTGCCCGAGGGAGCACTAGGCTCGTACACCGGATTGCTGAACGAGAATGCAGAATACTGACCGGTTGCTGAAACAATTAAATAATGCTTTGTATACTATCAACCTTCTTTTTGCAACTTGAAGCAATAATTCTTCAAAGAAACTCTATATTACTTGTATAATTAATTTGTATTGGAATTAATTTCTCAATTACCATTCAAATCAGCACTTCCACTCGCAGATTCTGTTCCCAATGGACTCGTTTGTATCTTCAATACTCCATACTGGCCTTTCGAGGGATCGCCAACTTGATCTAACGGATCCATCTATTTGATAACAACAAAAATGTGAAATTATTGCATTAATAATCAATATTAAATAATTTAGGGGAAAGTTAAATAATTTCCAATTTTAATCAACCTCAGCTGGCCACATTTATTAAATTAGCTTTCACAATGTTTCGACCTTTTGAGGTATATTAAAATTTGAAATTTTTTCAATGAAATTATCGGTCCTCGATTTTCCAATATTTTCATATACATATATAAAGAATACAATACGTACCAGACCGACATCTTCCGTTGGTTCTAACGTGATTCGATTTCTTTCTTGACATAGTGTTATGTAAAATTGCACAAAATCGGTCTTACGTACTACTTGATGCAGCACAAAACATAACAAAATCGTCATATTCGACAAGATAAAGAACATGGATGTATTACCACGTTCATCATTGAGTACAGACTTGGTTATTATTCGATTGATTGACACCCAAAAACCGGCGACGCCTGAAAACACGTATATTTATTTTGCTATATTACATAATATCTTCCATGATAATTAGAAGACTGTAACACAGGGTTGTGTCACTTGTAATATATTGAGTATCAGTGAGGAAATGTCTTTTTCACAATCTATTTCTCACAAACTTGGACATCCAAACGTTTAAATGACAAATTAATTAAATTCTGTTGAAGCAATTTTCTAACAAAAAGAGACAGATTCCAATCACTTATAGTCTTATAGTATGGTTACTCACTTTCTCCAGTCATTACAGCTTGGGTATATCGACTAGGAAGCATTGACGTATATCCGTAAAAACTCGATTGCTGAACTGTAATGTATTACAAATTTCAAAACAAACGTAATAAGAATAAATAAATGTTTACAATATTTTCCATCAGCTAATATCGATGAATAAATTATCGATCTTTTAACTCTACCTGTACAACCAAGGGACACTATAGCAACGGCAACCAAATTGATGGTGTAGGAAGTTGCAACGCCGAAGAGTTCCCACCAAATTTCGCAGATAACCACGAAGTTTAGAGTAACGAACGACACCAAATATCCTTCAAAATTTTATTATAAATTACAGTCGTTAGTAGCTTGCTGTTTATCGTTGGTACAATCTCCAGACAGCACAGAGAAGAGAATTCTTATTGAAATTTTTCTTTCCATTCCATTTCTGTTGTAAACACACTCGTCAAAGTTCGAAAAGAGTTGATAAATTTTTATGCCACAATTCTAAGCTCTTTTTTTTTCATATTACTCGGAGAATTTGCAGGAGGAATTCCCTTTTTTGTGTTCATAACGATCACCCGTGTGCTATCTGGAGTCCATCTCAAATTCTTATCCAAGCTGCATTTCAAATAGCATTTGTTGGACAAAGTGACATTTATAGCCCGATGTCTCACTGTACGCGATAAATGTAACGAATGTTGAAGTGTCTTACCAAATGTAATTCGCGTGTTCAGCGACAGAGTCTCGACTAGAATGTTGTTTGCAAAGACTGCAAAGAAAGCCATAATGATGTAAACGACGGACATGTCGAATATGACGGTGGTTCCCGGGTACCTCGCTTGAAAATAATCCACCGCTATAATAAAGCTGTAACAGACAACGACACAATTCATCGTCGGTATAAAAGGCGAGATTTGAAATGAGAGTTGGACGCAACGCGTTAAGCCATTGCCAATATTTCTCCGTAAAATCTTGACCTACAGAGGAGGGTCGTTCGCGACAATATACTTTGTCTTGATTTGATTGGACTGTCAACATGTACGAGGCATAATATACCAAAGTGGTCGCAGGACCTGTTATAAGGTAGAAGAAAGCCTATGCCACCGAGGATCAGTGCCATGTAAATGAAATTGCATTTGTCGACGGGCGGTGAGAGATGCGTGAATCCGTTGGAGAATTTGAACTCGTTCATGCCCCTGGCCTTGCCCAGCTGGACGTATCCCCGGCTCAGGTTTTCGTCCATGTTGCCGGAGGAGACGAGGAGTCGGCGAGAGGAGAGAGCTCGAAGAGAGACGAGAGTGACTCGGTGCTTGGAAGAGTCTCCCTAATCCATGGCCCTAACGGGCGGATGCTCCTCCTGCCTCCTGCCACTCGAACGCTTTGATCGTCCACCTGATCACTACGATATTTATTTCCTCGCACTGTTAATACCGAGTTCTCTTCTCACCCTCGAGCGCATGCTTTAACATTTACGGCATTGATTTCTGCGCGCGCCGAGTCTGCTCATTGCCCGGTGCTCGAGATATCACTCGATATCCGGGCAAGACGTGCATCAAACACGCACCAAACTTTCCCCTGAAACCTTTAACAAGATCGATGCAATTGTACATACATCGTTTAACAAGACGTGTCATTTTTTTTATATCTTCCAGAGATGGATCCTTTAGTTAGAAATTTACTCTAGATGGATTATAGTAGGTGTAGGTGCGATATTGTCGATTCATTCATTCGCGACGATATCGCCTTCGTATACAATAGCGGAAAAGTATATGCTATCCAATCGCGCCGCTAATTTCTCGCAAACTCATTTATACATCCAAGTATACAAGATTCTAGACGTATCCCAAAACTTTTTCGCGAAGGACCTTTCCTCTTTGTCTCTATTTTTGGCATCTGTGCAAAAGATGCAACTTTCGCGACGTAATATAATTTTCTTCAATGACAAAAGATGAGATGCAAATTGCGCTCAAATCTCCATGGGTGCAACTTTGCTCATTAGGTCAAACCGCAAGGTAATCTAGTGTACCGACGACGGCAAATGTGGTGAGAATGCAGCTACGAGCTTCGAGGCAAGAAGTGAATGGCGTTCCCTCGTCACTTTGTTGCATCGTAAACGATCGAAATAATAGAAAGGAACATGATGCGAGAAAAGAAGGTTAATATCTAGACCCTTTGACTTGTCAGGTAAATAAAGTAGTAGGTGTGCATCGCGTCTGTTCCTGTGTGTCCTGTGTGTGCGCAATCGCCAATGAGAAATTGGCCACGACTACTGTGAGCCACCAATGAGAAGTGGCCAAGAAGCGCAACTACTGGATCATCGATAAGTGGGCGTAATGTGCGCGCGACGTTACACCTCGGTTTATCGACCATGATCTGGAAATGATATCATCGTGTAACGTCAGTCTAAAAACTCGCGTCTCGTTTGCCTGAGCTTTTCCGGCAGCAGTTCCTCGAAGAAGAGCCTGAACGGCGTTGGTAATCGCGAGCGTTTGACGCAACCAAGATATGTCATTGAACACGGCACACGCCAACGGCGGAGTTCTTCTCCATTCTGGCGAGTGGTAAGTGACAAAAGCTCGCGAGTTACATCCCAATTGTTGAGTGGAATTTGAGTTATTGGTCAAATTATCTGTCCTGTGTAATCTCGAGATACGACGTTTCTGCCGCGCAATAAAGCGCAACACCGCCATAATCTTCCCGCCCCGACACTTGGCTTACACGTATATCTCGATGACCTTGTCGCTTTGTCGCAATCAAAGAAATTGCTTCGCACCAATTATGTACTGCCTTTTCAATTTGTTACCTTGCGACAATACACTTTGTTGACCGATCCAACTGTTTCTAGCATCATACTCTTCTGCGACAATGTCAATATGGAATTTCATGGGCAAGAACAAGCGGAGTTTATTGGCAAAAAGCACGGTAGATTGTACCTGACGACGCATAGGATGATCTTCAACGCTAAAGATCAAAAAGAGAAAATGCAGTCCTTCAGCTTCCCGTTTGTCACGTTGAGCGAAGTAGGGCTGGAACAGCCGGTTTTTGGTGCCAATTATATAGGAGGCAAATGCCGTGCCCAGCCAAACGGTAACTGGATTGGAGAGTGCAAATTTAAATTGAGATTCAAGAGCGGCGGAGCAGTGGAATTTGCCCAAGCTTTACTGAGAGCCGCAGCAATGGGTAAGATCAAACTGCAAAAAGCTTACTCACGTTTCCTCTCGTACTCTTGACGAAATATTAATCATGTTCCACCTAACTTTTAGCTCAACGCAATGGTCCAGTGAATGACGCGCCGCCACCTTATACGCCTCCGCTGTCCGAATGGTACCCGGCGCAGCCTTCGGCTTATCAACCTCCTCAAACTGGATATTACGGATGGATGCCTCCAACCAACGTCTTCCCAGATGCCCCACCAGGTTTCATTTCTAATTATTAAAATTATTGATTTAGCTGCACAATCTATCGCTGTTCTCGTAGCAAGATTAGCTTGCTGTCTAAGCTATCTAAGACAGGTATAAAAAGATTGCGATAAATTTTTATAGTAACAAGACTCGATGATCCTTTTGTAAACGTTTAGTGTAAAAGATTGGCGTACGTTTTTTACCTCGCAACGGCACCCGTTGACGTTTCTATTTAACACACTCTCTGCACACGCGAAATGTTTACTAGCAAAAATAATATTCTCGAGTGACGTTTGAATGGAGCTCGCTTGCAAAATTACTCCCTCTTTTCTAGGAAATACAGTGTTTATGACGGACAGTCCGCCGCCGTATCCCGGCATACAGCCAGGATACGGATACGCGAGCGGCCCACCACATCAAGGCGGCGGAGGTGCGGCGGGTCAACCAGGAGCTCCCGGATGGGCCAATCCGACTTACAATGGCCAGCAGATGTCCCATGCAGGTGCGTATCCTGGCGGTTATGGACAACCGCCTTATAGCGGTTATTCGCCTAACCCACCACCGTATTCGGCGTATCCGCAAAGCGGCTATACGCAACCTGGACCTCACAATCAGCAGCCGGGACCTTATAATTCATACCCACGTCAGTACTAACGAGTTGTAATCAATGCAATGTATGTATATATACCTGTATATCTGTAAATTATATGTATATATACATATATATCTATACTCACAATATTTGTCATCAAATTATAAATTACAACAGATGGACGGAGTGCGAAAAGAATTACAAAAGAATGCACTAGACATTCTTCGGAACATATACGCTTGTGTGAAACAGTATGCATATATATTTTCATAAATATCGATAGCTTAGCAAAACTATATAAAGTATACTTTCCGTAATTGCATTGAATATAACAAAGAATTATATTTATAATTATATATATTGATTCCACGAGGTTATAGTGTAATAACGTATGCTATTAATATAATATTAAACATTGATTAAGGATAATTTTTGCTGTTTTTATTTAAACCTATCAATTCAAGATTTTACTTCAAAATGGAAAGATAGCTGAAAGGATTAACACAGATACCTGCTAAACTTGAACGTTTTAAGTATTGAGCAATATAGTTGCGTAACGTGTCCTTACACACGATCTGAAATAAGATTGGCTTTCACTTCACTCAATTATTATCTTGTAGTTGTCAGTAGATCAGTAAACGGCTTTGCACCAACAGACAGAATATAATAGACAGTGTTTCTAGTGTGTCCACCCTTAATCCGCGTTCTTACATATTGTGCATTTCAAATATAATTCTTCATAGATGAGTGCATAGACAAATATTTTTCTTCATTATTAAACGGTTTGCATCCAGTGTAAAACGTGAATACAAAATTATGCCAGAACAAAATAAATGCGGAACATCAAACAAGATTTATGTTTGTACGTATTTTGTTGATATCGATGTTTAATAATAATTCAAAAATTTTCTGTAGATTACATGGTAGAATTTATCGCCGTTGTATTAAATTTCAATGATATCGCGCGCTGCTGATTTTCAATCATTCGATCCTTCATCTTTGTTTAATATAAAGCCAAATTATGAAAAATATATATATATAATCACTTTATATTATAAATCTCTATTGCACACAATTTACAAATATTTTAAAATAAATATCTTTATTATTATTGTTACCATTTGCATTTCCAAACTTAATTTGTGAGATTCCACCCATTTACTATTTATAACTTCGAAATGTAATGTTTTTGTTGAGGAAATCGCTTTCGAATTTAACAAGAATTGAATCGTTAAAAATTTGACGCGGTAATAATGTGACACTTAATTTTCAACTTGTATGTAATTGTATTATTCCACATTGCCGTTCTTCTTTTTTTTTGTTGTTAGATGCAAAGGCTGCTGAAGCTGCACAAAGCGCATATTATGATCCTAATAGGCCTCAATGTGCTTACGTTCCACCACCAGAATATTACGTAAGTGTTATATTTTAAATATATGTATGTAAAATATTTCTAGTAATATTCAAACGTTTATGGTATTTACGATATTGCCAAATATATTAAATTTATTTATATATTTTTATTTACATAAAAGTGTCTCTTTTCTAAAAATATTTCTTTGATATAAAGCAGGATGCTTTCTCATTCTGAGAGCTCTGTTGCATTTTTATCAAATCAAATCAAGCGAGCAATATAAATTATCTTATTGAAAGTTTACGTAATATTAGAAGATATCAAGAATTCGGTCGCCACATTGTGTACCTAAGATTACATCTGCTACATTTGCATCGGGAAAGAGTACATTTGATATGTATTTGTAATTTTGACTAAACGTATTTTATACAGTATTATAAATATTTTTATCGTTATATTTCAGGAAAGTCCACCAGCCTACACAAAGAAATATCAGTGAAACGCGTTACACAAGCTAATTTTATATAGTGCAATCGGTATGCATTCCACTTTAGGCGAATACTGCAAATTTGCATGCTGTCGCGCCGATTTGACGTCGATGTCAGCAAACTGTCGATGTTTGTTACAAAGCAACTCTGAAATTTGGATATGTAGGCTCAAAATGATGGTTGAAGGTGCACCAGGTTTTTCTCGTTACAGCTATGCAATGTTAAAGCACAGATATTACCGCAGGTATTTCGCAACGATGCTGCTTTGTATTAATGCGAGATTCAATAATTCTTTCTTATGTACATGTTATTTCTTGAAAACAGTTGTATTGTTGTGTTTCACACGAGTCTATACAATTACGGAATAAATGTTTACACGCATGTAAATACATACGTAAACGCTTTTGTACGACCATGAAATTGCTACGAATGAATATGTATTTTCAAGTCTTTATTGAAAGTTTCCAAAATACACAATCTTATGACACTGTAGTCGAGTATAAAAACCAAGCATCGAGATCGTTGAATACATTGTTATGATTTCTCCAATAGCTAGAGAGAAAAAGGAATTATCTCTATTTACAATATTCAATAAAAGGTTACGTTACATGGGCTCAATGGGTATTCACGTTTAAAATACGTTCAATTTAATCTGCTTTTTTAACAATATAATTTCACTCGCATTGAGATAGCGATATATAACAAAAAATGTTAACATCGAACAATTGAATACTGGATACAAAGTGGCATAAATTTCTCGAATCAATTCACGCGTGGATAAAACAATTAACAACTGCCTCGAATCCTATCCAAGCAATTTTTGTACAATATACGTTATAGATATACACTCTGGAATGCGTAAGAAAAAAAAACTGTAAAAAGTCTACCCGTACTCGGAGGTGACTGTCAAACTAAGATTTCCATTTTCGACGCGAGTACTGTGGTACCAAATCCGCGTATCCAACAGTACGACGTCCGTCACATCGACGGAGAATTTGAAAGATTTGCATTCGCTTTCGCATTCCGGCGTTGGGGCCACGATCCACGTTTTGCTACCTATTACCTGAGCTTGCCACATGAGTCTCGATATGTAATCCAACTACAGCAGGAAATGAGAAATATTTGTAAGTATTGTGCGCGCGCGCGCGGTTAATGGTTCGACTGCAAAACTCACGTGCATAACGGCACCTTCCTCGTAGCCCATGAAAATGTAATTGCTGTACGGGATTTCCGCGTCATCCGGCAAGAAGTGAGGTACGTTGTAAAATTGCTTCATGGCATCTAGAATCTGTGGATGGCAATTTTTCCAACCGACGTACCAGGGATCCTCGCCCTCTCGATGCAACGCTTGAGCCTCGCTCATCGCGAATAGCTCGCGCAGGTTCGCAAAGTTACTCTTGAAATGCAAAAACTGGCATTCCTCTTCTACCGACTCGTAGGCACCCTCGGTACGCTCGTATAAATCTCGAAAGAATTCCAGAGTGAATTGTTGACGCGCAGGCCAATCACTGGCTGCATTCTTGATTATCATAGGTCGGGACGAATAGGAATAAAAGCGAAATTCCTCTTTGGTCAAATTTGGCAAGATTAACGGCGCTTCGACGTCGCGACAGTAATCGCAATTCGTTATCGGTCTCGTGAATTCCCATACGAGATAATTATTTGGCAGCAAGCATCGAGTTCCTTGAAAACTCCCAATTATACTTAGGTAAAAATATTTATAAAATACGCCATAGAGAAATGGCACGAATAGCATCGCCAGCAATTTCCTCGAGCGCGTTGCAAATCCACTTTTTGCATCGGTAATCATCGTTACGGATTTTAAGTCGTTTATCACAGCCCCGTGTTGGATATAATTTTCAGTCAAGTTGAGAAATGCTTTTCGTATGTTCTCTGCCATTCTAGAGCAATTTAGCAATCGTTATAATTGATTAATCTATCATGCGTATCTCCGCCTATTTCTCATTCGTGAAAAACCGCTTCGAGTTATTTGCGCGTTCGTACCAATGTAGATAGAAATTGAATGTATTTCTCGTTTGGCAGAAATATTCATTGCACTCGCTCACTCATGTACCATGCGGTACACCACTCGTGTTGCGATTTCAATTGGTCTTAAAAACGATCTAGCAGTAATTACTACAGCCGCACTACCACTCGTCCATCCCATCTTATTAATCGCTCACGCTGACATGGCACGTTGATACTGACATTTATTATCATTGCCTCGGCAAGTGCGTATATTTGTACAGTACATGAATCATTTGCTTTATTTAGATCTTGACGTTTGGGGGCTTTCGTTGTTTACATTGCCAGAGGATTGCCGGAAGGTATTTCAATTATAAATAGAAGAATCCAATATTTCGTCGGGTCATTTCTCACGATGGTCCGGTGCAGCGATCTTTGTGCAAAGACAAATTACCGATTTAAAATACAACTAGTATATAGCCGATATGTACACGCAACATCTTGTTTGTCCTTGAGCTACATACGCGTACTGCGAGACTTCCAGAGTTGCTATCGATTATACGACGGAAACTTTCATCTCCCAGTTGGTGGGGATTCTCTCCTTCCAATGGCATTCACATCTGCCTTAGAATGGAAGTCCGCTTTAGTCGCAGCCAAGTACCTTAACAAGACGTTTCCTGCATCGTATGCTCAACAGATGCGTCTTCCGCCTCCGTTGTGAAAAACATCTTGCGTCATGGCACACGCGTGTTCGGAACAGTTTTTCATATACAACATACGTCGCGACCGTACACATATATACGTAATCTTTCTATTCTACCCAGTAGAACTGCGATTAAAAAGATTAAGCGTTAAAAAACAAAAGTCTCAGAAGTGTTTATTTTATCAAATCACACAACTAATGTACAAGTCCCATTCAAACCGGCGTCCGAAGTCAATTTTTCGACAGTTGTAAACTGTCGTAGGCTGCGTTTAGGGAGACGCTATCAGCGCTGAAAGCATCAGTCCATCTTTGTTACTCACTGTATGCCGAACAAAGATAAAAGACGCTTTTAGCGCTAAAACCACGCTCCCCGAATCCACCTATAGATTACTACAGATTTTGATTTATCTTATTCTTGCGGTTATACAATTCAAATGGTATAAAACCTAATTTACAGCAGTTATAACGCTAAAGAGTATATATGAATCTTTTCATTCTTACAGACTGTGATATAGCAGTGTGGACTTGTTTTGACCCCTCTCTCTCTTTTTTTTACATATTATTTTACTACTAGGCCAACCACAAAATGTTGAACGGATTTTCTTAATTTCATTCAGCACGAAATTCGTTGTTATTCTGCTGTTTGAGTTAATCCAACGATACTCAAGTATAAAATTATTATTCCATCTTTTGTTTACAAGGATTGTAGCTTTGCTCGATAGCAATATAGTGTGCCGTGTAGTCTATATTATGCAAAAAAGATATGTATGTGTGTATTTTTCGTTGCAGAAACTACAACAAAAGGTAAAACTTTGTTAAAATTTCACATGTACCAAGAATAGATCTCGCACAGTTTCCGAATTACGCACGAACGTGTATACACATGTGATCAATCACACATTTAAATTGATCATCGTTAAACTGAACGTTACGTGAAAATGTATAAATGAATAATAACAAATCATAAGTTGCATGCATAGACAATGGTCACTGCAAAAATTTGCTTGTAAATGCAATGTTACGAAACCCTTTCGCTACAGCCCCCTCGTAACGAAAAAGCGCCCATGTACGGAAGGCAAACACTTCTGGCGCAAAAAAACTTGCAGCTGACTGAATAATTTCTGTAGCCTACCTATGATATCTAATTATAGGTATCTCTTTTATATTTGTCTTTTGTTTTATCATAAATGTCGAAAACTGGAGAGAATAAAGATATACGTTATAAAGATAATCGCTCATTTGTTAAGGGCACAAATGTGTACTCCGTGCAGCGAAAGAGTTAATTGACATGTAATTAAGTCTCATAAAAACTGTTGCTTTGTTGAACAAATAATACGAATAATACGCTAAATTATTCAAATTAAAATAGTGTCTATAATATATCCACATCAAAATAACATATTTATTGCAAAAAGGATTTATAAACAAATCAGATTGAACTAATATCTTGAATAAAATTTGTAGAGACATATCGGTGAAAAAAAAGAAATTTCTTTTTAAATCACATTATCACAACACATTGTTTTAATTATGGAAGTTTCACTAATCACAGTTCTCAAGACTACCTTACTTTCAGCAGTATAAAAAATTCAGAGCATACACTTAAATCTGGACTATGAAAATATAAAACATTTGGCATAGCGATCATATCCTTTTTGTTTCCCCAATAAATCAAGACTAGTCACCTAAATTGTTTTTGTAACGGAACAGACTACGTTTATTGGGTATTCTCCGCAATAATGATGCAACTCAAAATAAATTATTACTTACTGTTAGAAATGTGTTTGTTTGTAGTGTGTGTGTGTGTGTGTGCGCGTGTATGTGTGTGACTAGCTGACAGTTTTTATGTCAATGTAACAGCAATGTTTGTATCAATGTTTACACCCGATTAAGCTTTACAGAAATTTCTAGCGATTATCAATCAGAAGTAACACCATTTGCCAAGAATAGCGTCCTTAATAGCCGCTATGTACTGCGCAGGGACCCAATATATCCAATACCTTGATGCCTCCGTAGTGCCTAACTGTATTGCCTGTAAGTTTTAAGGATTATCATCGGATTAGTCCAAGACTATTGAATTTGCGATACACGTACCATAACATGATATTCCGGATGATCGTGAATAGGTTCACTATGCACACCCTTGATCGAATTCATTGGTATTTTGTCCGTTCGTTCCTTCGTGCCGATCCAAAGCTGATCTTGTTCCAATTTAAATGTTAGTCTAACCTTTCCTCCAGACTTGTTTAACATTCCAGCTAATGGAAATTCAGGCAAAGGTTCCTATATTTTATCAACCGACAACAGTTATAGTAGTTTTCGTCGCTGTATATACATATGCTTGATATGTAAAACAGGCTTCACGCAGACTTTATACAACCTTGCTATCTAGTATCCCTGGCATCACGTCCTCTGGAATACCTTTGTCTAAAACCTTCCTATGAACTTTTTGTTGCGAAAGAGGCTCTTTGCTCACCGAGGAGACGGCCTCGTCGATGAGGTCTTGCTTCGTTGGAATTGACACAGCCAATACGTCGTCTAATTTGGATCCAACTATCATAACTTTGGCACCTTTAGCATTTGTCGTGAAGCAAGTTAGTAATTTTGTTAGTCGCAAAGAGTAAATAACATAGAACTTGCCAAAGTATCCTCGATTGGTACGTTACCTTTTGTGACTCCCAAGTTTCTAAGGGTCTGATCGTCTTTGGCTAATCCTTTAAACATAACTTTCTGCATCGCTTGCGGTACCGAGATGATCTTTTGCAAATGCGTCTTTAACTCGGCAACTGTGCCATCTAAAGCAAAATTTACACTAATCTTCTGTTTGTTGTAAATCACTGTAAAGTCTATATTCTCTGTGGATGGTTGTTGCAAAGTGGTCGCGGCCGTGTCCTGCGAGTCGCTGACGTTGTTCCCGCACTCCATCGTAGATTCCTTGGCGTCTGCCGCCGAATTTTCCATGGACTTTGCTTGGTTCGACGCGAGTTCCGGACGAGGGGACGAATTGTCGTTGAGGGAACAGCTGTCATTGTTGTCGCCCTTAACAGAATCTAGAGAGATGAAAATACACGTCAACCAAGGCCTCTCCATTTACCAACAATTCATCATAGATGTAGAAAGTAAAGAGTGAACCGGTGAGAGGTTAGAGTCCGTCCTCGAAAATGTGCATTGCCGTGCGAGCGGCGCGAACGTAGGTCGTTGGGTCGGAATTTAGGATAGAAATTGGCAAATACGTACGCATAGAGGAGCGTCAACGTCACAAAATGATCCGACGTACACAAACGCGGCGGATGCCACGGGCGACCCGAAGGAAGGTTTCGCCGTGATACCGCGATCTATCTGTCCGCCGGTGGAATTTATCGCGGCTGAGGTAAGGTAAAGCGGCTACGAGCTACGAGGAGTGGCCGAACGTCGGGAATTTCGCGGAAAGGACGAAAAATAAACAGGATTCAGCACGTACCCACGTACTCCATGTTGAACCGTGCTCCACTGGCCAATCAAATTTATCACAGAGAGCGTTCTTACCGCTCACGCATCGTTGTGTTCGTTGGTGATATCGGTGACGCACGTTCTTCGGAATGACTTTCCAATTTTTGAATACTTGTTACACTCCAAGCGCGATATCTCTGTCTTTCGAGCCGCATCTATATACATCTTATATTATATACATTCATGTTATTTCTTCTTTCTTTCGGTAAACGAGAAAGGAGAAGAGAAACGCTTCGAAGCGTGCGCGACTCAAATGTAAGATCGAAAAGGTAATTTTCCATCTCGTCTCATCCACGGAAGAAAGAGATTTTCGCCTTTCGGAAGATAGAATTTAAGATGATATACCGAAAGAAATAATTAGTAATAACAAGTCCTGCAACGACTCGTGTGAGTCGTGTGCGCTAACGCGCAGAGCGCGGTGAGGTGAGGTTAGGATCGTTTCACGGGATAAAGAAGATTCGTAGTTGTACAAACCAAGATGGCGAGCACGGCACGTTCCGCCTTCTCTCACGACGGTCAATATTACGCATGTAGCGGTAACGACGGCAAGTTGAGGATCTGGGAGACTGCGAGCGGCCGGTTGAAGGACGAGTACACTCCTAATCGACATTTATCGTCACCCTGCAGCGTCATAGGATGGATCTCCGCGTGTCCGCAATCGGCGGGCAACGCATCGGTAAATGCGCCATGTGCTTCAGCTCCCCAACCGCCGCTTCCTGCTTTTCGCTCTATTTACGCGCTTGCTGTACACCATTTCGCACCCTCGACAGTCTTTCATCCTCACCAGCATTTCTCACCTTTCTTCGAGCTTGCTCGACACGCGACTTTCCCAAAGGTTATGTTGAACGCACCAACGTATTTCCTCTTCGATTTCGCTCTTGCGTCGAGATCAACATAAATGTAAATGATGAAACGTCTTCCACATGTCTTTTAAGCCATCGCCAAGAAAGAGACGCAGGAGAAAGTCAATTTCAGAAGAGTTGGACCGCAAAGCTGTCGTGGCAATGGGTTCGATGAACGGAAAGATCGTCTTGTACGACGTAGCAGCCGCGTCCGTCGGCGCTACGTTGGACGGCCATTCCTCTACCGTTACGGCGATCGCTTGGTCACCACACACCGGATTGATTACAGCGGCCAATGATTTTCACATAGTGGAATGGACTCTTCAGGAGAATGGAATCAAATGTAAATGGAAATCCGGCAAAGCCAAAGTCACAGCCCTGGCAATTGTACCTAATGAAAAGTCCTTGCTATCCGCCGAAAGAGTAATCAAGTGGTGGAATTTAACAACGAAGCAATTGATCCGCACCTTTACTGGACATGCCAATCAAGTCACGTTTCTTCATACTGTACAAGTAGACGACACAACCAGTTATCTACTCAGTAGTGCCTGTGCAGACAGTCATCTCTCTGTATGGGCATTAGACAAAGTATGTTGCTGGTCATCTCTTCTTTTTTTTCACAAATGCTAAAGGTCCTTGATTCAATTCTAAGATAAAGATGTTTATAGAAAGAAGCATCGATAGTTCATTCACTTTTTAATCGGCCATTCTTAATATAGTTTTAACTCATTTTCTATAACTTTGCTATAAGATACAATTTTGGTATGCTGTGCACACACCTTTTATACAGTTGATTATATGTATTTTCTCTTTTTTTTTTATTAGGCTTGGTTTGACAATTAAATTTCTTTTCATCTCTGTTTAGAATAAAAATGATAAAGCATCAATGGCAACGCTGGCTATGCAAGATGAGGCTACGTGTATCTCGATACTTGTTGCAGAAGATTTGCAAGTCGTCGTATTGGTTACTACTCAATCGGGTCAGACACAACTGTTCAAGTATCAGCCGAATGGTCACACCAAACCATTGAAACCGTCTCTTAACGTTGCGATAGCGGCAGATGTCAATCAGAAGAAATCTGTTGGACAAATTCCAATTTTAGCAGGTCACTTGACCGAAGATGAAAAGCTATTACTAGCATACGGTAGTTATCTGAATTTGACATTCGAGAAAGTTGTGCCCGACTTTTCGGACAAGTTGCAATGTTTAGTCAGATCAGAAAGATTGGATGCAAAAAAATCGAAAGAAAAGAAAGAAGAAACAATTTCTAAAGTGAAACCTACCTCGATAGAAGGAGATGTTGAATATCTTGCACCAGGTAACGCTAGAGGTAATGTGTTCCGTAATTATAATAATAAACTATTATGCAAGTAAATGTTTCGGATCCATGTTTTAATCATTGACGAAAATAGGGAGAAAAACGTAAAAAGAATACTACATTACAGGAATGGGAGTTTCAACGCAGAAAAGAAATAGAACTAGCTCAGGGTCTCAATTACTTTTAAAAGAGAGATTAGAAAATCTTAGCTTAAATGCGGACGCAAATTCATCAGGAAAATTACCGACGAAAGGAGCAAATAGGACGCAATTACTGATGCAAGCTTTAAATAGCAAAGATAAAACCATTTTGTCAACGGTGCTGTTTACAAAAAATGAAACTGTAATTCGTAATACCATCGCCAAATTACCAGTGCAAGCAATCGCACCATTGCTTAAAGAATTAACCCTTATGTTGCAAGGCAAAACATATGTGTAATTATTATTTTTTGTTATACATTTTTCTAAATTTATTTATTGTAAAAGTATGTAACACCTTGTGCGTAATTTTTTTAAGACTTATTACTTTATCCATGTTTAGGAGTAATATCGCAGCAATGTGGTTGCAAACTTTGATAATGACTCATGCAGCACACCTGATGTCGCGACCTGATATTGCAGAGATACTGAGCCCTATTCTAAGTTTTATCGATGCGAAATTAACTCTTCTAACGGCTGTACAGAGATTAAAAGGCAGAGTTTCTCTTATAACAGGACAAATATCTCAAGCTAATGAGGAACACAACAAAGATATAACTGAGGATAGTTTGCTTGTTTATCAAGACCCAGGTTAATATAACTTATCAATATATTCCCAAATTTTATTGAATTTCACATATTAAATCTACATAAAAAAATATATATATATGTAGATTCATCGGATGAAGGTGCCGATAAGGATGAAGTTGATCTAAGCAGCGAATCCGATGACAATTGGGAAGAGATGTCGGATCAAGACGTTCAAGATGAGCAAGACGAAGAAGCTAACAGAAGCATCAAGTCTGAGGACGATGATGATAATAATGATGATGATGTGGATAATTATTCTATACACAGCTGAAATAAAGTTGGTTGGTAACAGTGAATAACTGGTCTAACTAGTAATTTCTTTTAATACTGAGATTATTTCGTTCGTTTATTGTCCAACCACTTTTTCACTTTGTCTCTTCAAGTAAATTACACAAAAGAGAACTATAAAAATTATTGGCGAATTATATAACTACTTTCATTTTTTATAAATTTAATATTGATATGAGAAAATCACTCAAAATACTTTTCATTAATTAATGTTATACTTGACAAATAATATTCTATTTTTCAGCTAAATCACAAAAATAAAATAATGTAACGTTGGCATTATCAATATTATACTGTTCAACTCTTTTATTTGTAAACTGTTAAACGTTGTAAGAAGGAATAAAGTGCCACTTTTTATATTACAATCATTTCTTTCCAGTAAAGATCTCGATTATTAATACAACCATAGTGGAACCATTCTTGACGGAAGTCAAGAAGCAAAAATGGTATTGTAAAAAGTTAACCTTTTTCTTCTTGAGACATTTATTTTTACTATAAGTATGAAGATTCGGAGGAAAAGCCAAATGTAGCGAGTACTCGTGTTACTTATTTGTTATCTACACATATGTTATATTTTTCTTGAAAAATATGTAATTGTACAAATATATTTGGATGTACAAGATGGTCTGCGTTATGAACGAGAAAACCTTGTTAGCTTTCATTAGTCTCATTACTTAATTAAATAGTGCTATATTTGACTTTACTTCCACTGTTAGCCTCACAATCAGTGGATTGCCCTGCCCTACCGAGAGGGGACAATCGAATAAAAACTGATTTTTGAGTGAATTCCAACCCGGATCTTTAGTTTATTAGAACACCACATATCTCGTTATTGACATGTAAAACAAAAATAGGTTCTTTGCGTACGAACAAGATTTATAGATACGCATCGCGCAAAACATACGATAACTTTATCGTGAACTTTCATTGACGATATTTTAAAAGTTTATTATAATGTTATTTTTATTAAATATTTTTTACTTTTAAATGTAATCGAAGAATTCTATATGAATCTAGTAATGGTTCTATATATAGTTACTATTAGAGAAGTAATATTGTGGCAAGTCTCTGGAGCTAATAACCTACTTTGAAATACAATTTATTATGTATAAATCGTTGAAATAATCTATTACTTTTACTACATTTAGTGCTCAGAACAGTGCCATTTATTTTGAGAATATTAAAAAGAATAATGTTTATTTAGTTTGCTAATATATGTCTGTTTAGCTAATTAATTAAGTTAATTGTACGATAAGAACACATACACATATATTACATTAAATTTAAAACTCTTAAATTTAATAAAATTCTATTTGTATCTTTGTATATACTCTGTATAATCTGTTTTCTTTATTTTAATACAAGCTTGCATAACTTTAGAGAATCTTTTGTGTATCATAAGTTGATCAATTTAGCTGAATACGAATATATAGTATTTTATTTTAAAAAATAAACAAGTTTTATATTGTATAGATTGTATTTTTCCTTGTAGAATCTTTATCTTGGATCGTATGAGTACCACTAGCAACAGACTATCCTAATGGAAAAGTACAAGCACATGTATATGTATAATGTCGTTACGTTATATTTAAACTGTGTGAAAATGATTTGTATGTGTTATCATGTAAATTGTTATTTAAAACTTAAAATTATCGAATCTTGAATGCTAAATAAACATGATAAACTTTGAAAGACCTGCTGGCCTTATGATAAACCGTCGCGTGTCGTTCCACACATAAGTGTATCTACGACACACCTACTATTGTAGGTGTGTACTAATATCTTGGAAATATGTTGAATATCTCCGGCTTACGACGTGTTTATAGTTTACTAAATTGATAATTCACATTTATTAACAGTAGCGAGTGCTTTAGTCAAGATAATTGACTAATTATTACATACAATTAACAGCGTAATTATTAATAATACTTTATTACTAATAATTATTGTTATTAATTAATAATTACTAATAATTATTGTTTTTATGGTTCTTATGCTATATTGTAATTATTCTAGAAATTAAAGATAGTAATGAACAAATCTCCTTGGAGGTAGCTTATACTTTTCTCTCTTATATCTTTACATTTGAATTATTTTCTGCTTACAATTTGTTATATCTCAAACGTTAGATTAAAATTTAACAAAAATCAAATATTAAAATTATAGTTTCAGTCATATAGATAGGTTCTATTGAAAGATTTGGAAAGAAAATAATTTGCTAAAACATTTAAATACACGCGTATACATATATTATATGTTATTTATTGAATCTAATACAGTTTACTTGGAAGTAAACATATTAAAATAAGGTACATATTTGTGACATTTGTGAAGCAATATTCGTAAAAATCTATATAGATATGCGAAACTAAAAGATTATTACTTCCTCAGTCTTTTCATCAAAAATAAATTTCTGAAAGAATTTGTAAACAAGAAAAGGATGAGATAAACCTGAGACACCTTATATCGCGAGTGATAAAAACATTCCAATTGCGAAGCCGAGAAAGCGGCTCGCTTTTATTATTAATGTATAATCATGTTTACGCGTAGGAATTTCACCAAGAGAATATAGGCATCGTGTTAATTGGTTGTTATCACATTAGTCGTCCAAAGTATGAAAAATATTAAGATAACAACTACCGAAACAATTTCTGTTATGAATTTTTATACTTGATATTTACATACATATTTTACTCATCCTATAATTAATTGCTATCATTAATACAGTGGTATAACAAAATTATGATTTTAAACTTAAAAATTCTATATTTGATATTTAAGAAGTAAGAAAAATTTAATTACCATTTGTGTAAACATATACACATTTTCATAAATGCTGCGAGGAACCACAGTTCGAGAAACAACACCATAAGGAAATGAAGCTACTCTTCAAGCTGTTCTATAATATTATGCAAGAACTTTCAGACCTACAAAGCCACCATTTGGGCACGTCTTTGAAGAGAAATTTTTCTTTGGCTCACGTACCATAGAAATTACACGGATTTCTGCAAAGTTTAGCCTTCATTAATCATAGCATACTAGGATGAGTCTTTATTCATTTGACATAAACACGTCCTTGGTGGAAATTTTACTGAAAATAAAAGTTTGCTGAAATGTGTTGACGATAAATAATTAAAAATTTAACAAGTAAATTGCCATTAAAATGTAACAAAGTTTTTATTTAAATAAAACTTGAACTTTTCTTATATTTCATATTTCACATTAGTATTACACTAAATTTTATTTAAACAAATTATGAATCATTTAATTAAAACACATTGAGCAATTTTTCAATGACTTTTATTTCACTTTTCATCGATCTCAAAGTACTTTTAGCAAAATATTTTCATTGGAATTTGCTCAAATAAAATTTTGACATGATATAAAAAATATGCAATACAATATAAAATATTTAATTAAAATTAATTAAAAATAGCTAACCAACTAACTCGTAAGAAATTTTACTTTTCGCTAAATACATATGTATATGTATACTAGTTAAAACATCTGCTGTTACCTTTATATAATTTAATAGTGGAAAGAATTTGCATTAAGATGTAGAGTAATTGTTAATTAACACTGGATTCCTATGAAGGCAATAAAGGAAAACGTAATGATCTGTTAACGTATAGGCGTTTATAAAATTCACGCGAGAGATGACATGGATATTTCATAAATTTCCACTACTCTTTCTCTGAGCGTAATTACCACTACAAACGAGAATACCGGGTGGATGGGTACTCGGTCGGAAGGTGAGACTTGCGAATGAAGATAACGAGCAAAAACGGTTGAAATACAGGCAGGTCGTGACATAAGGTCAGGCGATTAGGAATGAAATCATACAGTTACCGGTATAAAAGCTGGCGCCGGACCATCGGTTAGGCATCGTTCTCCTCTGCTGACTCGCAGAGGTAGTTGTTGATCGAGTTTGAAACATCGAAGGCTGATCGTGATGCTGAAGGAGCTGCTGTTTCTAGCGCTAACGGCGCTATGCGTGTCGGATGGATACCATCTGACTGCTAAGACGGCCGACATGGACTTTCTCCACAAGCAGAAGAAGATCTACGAACTGATGTTCTTCGTCAAGCAAAACACCCTCACCGACGCGGAATTCTACGAGATTGGTCGCAATTACGATATCGAGAGCAACATTGACATGTACAAGGACAAGGTACCAATAAGCTAAGCCAATTTTTCCAATTTTTTAACGGTTAAACACCCTTGGATCTTTGTGTCTTTGGCTTTTGTACACGTTCTCACATTTGTGAATGTCTCTTTACATTTTTAGCCGACAGTCCAGGAGTTCTTGTACCTATACAAGCACGGTATGCTCAGTCGTGATGCCTTATACTCGCCATATTACGAGGAACATCGTGAGGAGATGAAGCTCCTCTTCAAGCTCTTCTATTACGCCAAGGACTTCCAGACCTTCTACAAAACCGCCTCTTGGGCACGTCTTTACATCAACGACGGAGTCTTCACGTCCGCCTTCACTGTCGCTGTCTTCTATCGTCCCGACTGCAAGTACATGAGATTACCAGCTCCTTACGAGATCTACCCCAATCTATACTTTGACAGCAATGTCATCCAGCAGGCTCACGACATCAAGATGACTCGTGGTAAGTCACCGCGTGATTCTCCCGAGCGCAACGTGACTAACGAAATCGCTCTCTAAACATTGTTTTTATGCTGATTTACAGGAATCTCTACTGCCAACGTGGACAACGTGGACAGCTACATGATCTATGCCAACTATTCCGGAAACTTCGTCAAGCCCTACTTCGACGAAGAATACAAATTGGACTATTTCATAGAAGACTATGCCTTGAACAGCTTCTACTACTACTTCCGCCAAGTTATGCCGTTCTGGTTCGACTTTAAGGATTTCGACATCCCGAAGGACTTCCGTGGCTATTATTACTATTTCTACCACAAGCAATTATACGGTCGCTACTATCTCGAACGCATCTCCAACGATCTGGGCGACGTCGAAGACTTTGATTGGTATAAATCTTTCTATCCCGGATACTATTCGACTCTGATGTACCACAACGGAATCGCCATGCCCCAACGTCCTCGCCACTCGAATGTCCCATTCTACAAGTACAAGTATCTGAAGGTACGATTATCTTCCCGTTATTTGCTTCACCATTTTATTTCATTTTATCCATCTACCGTCTCGTTTGTAAATCTCGTGTGAATCTTTGCAGGAGATCGAGGCTCTGGAACTGCGCATCATGAATGCTATCGACCTTGGCTACGTTTACGACAAGAACGGCAAGCAAATCAACATTTACACCCCTGAAGGTTTGAACATTCTCGCAAACCTGATCGAAGGCAATGTGGATTCGTGCAATAGACACTTCTACGGCATGTACGACGCTCTCGCTCGAGATATCCTCGGCTTCAACTTCGACTACAAGGACAAGAACAAGGTGATCCCTAGTTCTCTCCAATGCTACAGCACCAGTATGAGAGATCCCGGATTCTACCGGCTATACAAGAGGATCATGATGTACTTCTTCAGGTATTTGTTCGAACGTGCGATCTCTTGCACTCCCGGAAACGCACAGGCGTCTTAAACGTTTCAAACGCCCTTACTCAACTTGTTTCTCCACTCTGTTTCCCCTAGGTACAAGAAATACATGCCGTATTACACTCAGAACGAACTGGTCTTCCCCGGTGTCAAGTTCGAATCCGTCAACGTCGACAAGCTGACGACTTACTTCGACACTTGTGACACGTTCATCAACAACGCTCTTTCCGTCGAGAGCTTCAAGGAGGGAATGAAATTGCGCGTCAAGGCTCGCCGTTATTGCCTCAATTACAAACCGTTCAATTATCACTTTAACATCAACAGTGACAAAGAGACCAAGGCCGTACTCAAGATCTTCCTTGGACCTGCCTACGGTGATGTTCATAATGAGAAGGACATAGCATACCTCCGTGAATACTACAAATACTTTATCGAGATGGACAAATTTGTCGTAACGCGTAAGTTGTACTTGGAACAATTTCTATTTTCTTCTTTTTAATTCTCTCTCTCTTTCTCAAATGAACGAGAATCGCTATTTATATCGACTGCTTCTTTCAGTGAGACAAGGTGCAAATACTATCGAACGCCGTAGCACCGATTCCGTCTACACCATGCCCGATATGCTATCCAGCGACATGTTCTACAAGAAATTGGAGAAGGCCGTAGGAGGCAGCGAACCGTTCACCTACTACGAGAAACTCTTCGCCTTCCCTGAACGGCTGACTCTGCCTAAGGGTAAACCCGAGGGTATGCGATTCAAGATGTTCTTCTACTTGAGTCCGTTCGACGAGACCAAGGTCACGCCCGTGGAATTGCCAATCTTTGGCAAGTTTATGCTGGACGGGAAATCGTTCGGCTTCCCGCTTGACAGACCGATGTACCCATGGAAGTTCTTCACGCCAAACATGTTCTTCAAGGATGTATACATCTATCACACGGTAGAGCACGAAAAATCGATGCACTTCTAGATTATCCATTCTAGCTTGTGTCAGCCCCGATGAAGACTTTGACGATAATTAATTCTGTCTAGAATCCTGTGTCATGCAAGTGATACGAATTAAAACAAGTCTTTCTTCAATAAAGAATTAAAAATTATACGTTCTGTAAATTACTTTCCAGCTTACTCGAATCCACCTTATTCCCTCATATACTTTTACGAATTTCAGTTACACCCACTTCGTAATACGTTTCGATCCGTTTCAAACAAGTCCTCTTCAATTCACAAGGCGTTTTGCATTCTACTCCTAATCCAGTACTTTTGATTTTCTCACATTTGTTAATTTCTCTTTTAACTTGCGTTAATTACAAATTATCTTACTATTTTAATTTAAAGGTAACTGCAGAGTTTTATACATGTTAATAACTTGTTTCAATATCTGTAGTTACGTAAATCAATACAGCTTTTATACTAAAGTTGATGAATTTTGGATAAAAGTAGGGAAAATAATTTGTAAAGCTCTAAACTATACGTCTTGCAGTTTGAGAGTTAAGCAATTTCTCAGCAAGGAAAAGATATTTTTCATAGTAAAACAATGTATATACGAAAAGCTGTTAAAACATATTAAACGAATAATAGAACGTATCGACACCACGTGTCAATAACTTCTTATAAATCAAATTTTAATAATTAACTTAATTGTACACACTTAAAGTAAAAAATCCGTATAATCGGACTGTTACGAAAATTCACGATAAACGTCTTATTTTTATAGACTCAAGTTTTGTATTGGATAAGATTAGATTATTATTAAAAGTGCACAGGTATGCAAAGTAGTATAATTAAAATGTAGTTATTATATATTATAATGAAGCAATTTATGCTGTAGAAAGAACACGCTTTAAAAGGTATTTCTGACAAATTCTGACAGTTGAAATTTATACACAAAGTGTGTTTAGAATCTTGCTATAAATTAAAGTTTTCCTAAATACTGAGAAAAGCGTAGACTTTTATAATTTACACGCAAACATCAAATGACGTTAATTATTATAAATTTTTATTTAATTACTTTTTATAAATACATATATGTATATTTCCAAACATATATTTTCAAAAATATTATAAGTACCATAAATTTATGTAATTTTAGAATTTATTTAGAATTGCAATATATTATTTAAAAAAATTAAAATAAAGATTGATTTTTCCGCTTCAAGAAATTATCATTTTAGCTTGAAACGGGTTAATATCGAATATTAAACATATTTTTATCACTATACAATTATCAAAGCCAAAAATAACGTACATTATCTTTATGCACATATTCAAAGTTATCATTTGCATAAGTTTCACAAGTTCTGATTATCTTGCATTTATATTGATATACGTAGCGTTTTTCGTCATGATCGTGTAGAAATCGAGTCTCAGTATTAAGCAGTTTTAAAATGCAACAGGGAAATAATTTTGTACAATTTTTCTAAAAAAGCCTAAAAATAATTTATATCACAAACATACACTCGTATTCTCTTTCTCTGCATCTCTGTAGTTTGCATATTCTTCTTTTGCGTATAACTTAATTTCTAAAATAACCTTTACAGAATTTATTCAGACACCAATTAAACAAACATTTTCATTGCTTATTTTACTAATTAGCTTTACATTTATGATTTAATAAAAAGTTTTACTTGCACAAATAATATATTATATATTATCATTATCGAGGAACAGTTCATCAAAATCGAATTTCATACATACACGTTAATCACGAGTTTTATGGATGTATATTAGTTACCACATTATACGAGAAGTTTACATACAATTCAGGTAATTACTATTTATTAATTGATAATACAAATAATCTTGCGAATGTTTATCACATCTTGGTTTTCAATAAATTTCGATTGTTTATGCTTGAAGAGATGTTGATGCAACAAATGTGACAATTGAATGTTATTTGCGATATAAATTATATTTGTTGTAATTTGTATTAGGAACTCTGTTGGCAATTAGTCTTTAAGAGAGATTCTTTTGCAGACAGCTATTTCCTTTCTTACGCTATAAAGTTTATCTGAATAAAAACAGAATTTCTTTTTTATTCTTGAAGTCTGTTGATCTTTCTTAATTTTCATCTGAATAAATCATAGTGTTAAACTTTAATTTATTACAAGGAGACTAATGTTTAAGCGTTAAATTTATTTCAATTTCGTTGTAAAACATATTCATATTATGAGAAATAGACAGAGTGAAAATATTTAGATGCAGATTTCGACAGACTTTGCAGAAGACTTTGGTAGAATAGGATATATTCCGAAAGTAATGAAAAGAGAGGAAAGAAGCAAATCGTTTCTTTCGATTGAAATAAATAACGTGAAGCGAGGGTGATCAACAAATACGAATCCCGGATTTCTATCGTGTCAAAGGGTAGGCGATTACCAATAAAGATAATTGTTACACAAACAACGAACATTATCGGTATACTGCAGGTTACCTCACGGGTCCTCTAATCTTGCACTCCGAACTTTAGTATCTTTTTCGCCGATAGACAGTATATAAAGGAATTGACGAATAGTGCCAGCCGATCCTTCGCGAAGCAGGCCCGAGGATGAAAGCGATTGCGTTGCTCTTGGCTGCGGCGTGCCTGGCTCATGCCACGCAGGTGCCCACCCACACCGCCGACAAAACATACTTGATCAGGCAGAAGAACATCTACGAGCTCTTCTGGCACGTTGACCAGCCAACCATTTACCATCCGGAACTTTACCAAAAAGCGCGATCCTTCAGCCTCGAAGATAACATTGCTTCTTTCACAGACAAGGTATTTACTAGCAATAATCACGTATATGTAATAAAATGAGTTACTTTTTTGAAAATTTACTTTCCTACCTTTTGTCACAATCTTGTAATGAAATCCAAAGTTTTGTAAATAATATAAAAATTATTTATACAGAATAAAAGAAAGTTATTATATGCGTGTAACGTCGACATCTTTCGAAATGGAATGCCTTTAGACTTGTATGCATTCATTGAAATGTTTTCCATCATTTTCAACGACTAATGAGGTGCCTGTAAAGAGTTGGGCAGAAATTCTTTTATTTAACACATCTCGCGTCGAATCGAAGAAGTTAGTTCCGCGATTGAATTTGATAGATGAAACTTGCAATCCGTAAGTATGTTGTTCGATTTGTTGTTCTAGGCGGCGGTGACCGAGTTCCTGCAGCGATGGAAACACGGAATGCTCCCACGGGGAGAGGTGTTTTACGGAAGTCATCCTCAGCATTACAAAGAAGCGATGTGCTTCTTCCGTGTTCTATATTCCGCCAAGGACTTTGACACTTTCTACAATACTGCCATATGGGCACGCTTCCACATGAACGAATACATGTACATATACGTGCTGAGTGTCACCGTAATGCATCGCCCGGACACCAAAAACATCCGTTTGCCCCCGATGTACGAGGTGGTGCCGCATTATTTCTTTAACGAGGATGTTTTGCATAAGGCCTATCGTATCGCGATGGGTGACTCGCAATCAGGTTGGTATAATAGTCGATCCATCGACATAAAATAGTCTCATTGACGATAATCATTTTTCTTCGAGATCTTCCCCATCCACTCTATCTACAATAAAAAGAAATTAGTTGGTAAATTTTATATTCTGTCAATGAAACCAATGAAAAAAAGTCTATGTAATGAAATATTCCAATAACTGCCTTCTTTCTGTCGCGTACGATAATTAGCAAGGACACCAATTTGTTCTATAAAAGCAGAAGTGTTAGGTGTGAATATTAAAATATTGATCGAAATTATTTGGTTTGGTAGGTTTAAAGAAAACAGTTGGTGGTGTAGATTATTATTACATTCCTTCCAATTACACCAACTGGCATGTGGTTGGAGATGAAATGTCGGAACAACACAAATTAAGCTATTTCATCGAGGATGTCGGTTTAAATACGTTTCACTTTGTAACGCATCACGACTTCCCAATCTGGATGAACAGCGTTCAGTATAATATGCCGAAACATATTCGCGGCGAATTGTATATGTACACCCTTAAACAATTGCTCATTCGCTACTATTTGGAAAGATTGTCCAACGATATGGGTGAAATTTCGTACGTCGACGTGACTAAACCTATCGTTCCTGGTTACTACCCGACGATGCATCATCACAATGGGTTGCCGTTCCCACAACGTCATGTTGGTTTCGAGATTCCTCTTCACGCACACAAGTATATCCAGGTAATTGGTAAAGCAGGTTTTATCGAGTATGTAAGCCAAATATCACCAAATGTTAAAAATGTTCTCAGATAGATACCTAGATGATATTTCCAAGACGGGACAATATACATATATGTATATTTTCAATTAGATGTCTCGTGGTCGGTTGTCTAAAAGACGCGCCTGTTCTTTTAGACAACAAGAGATTAATGAAATTATGACGTGTCTGTAACTGCCCCACAGGCCATACAAGATGTCCATACTCGCATCTCCGATGCCATCGACAAAGGCTATGTCATTGATATGCACGGTAAACATGTCAACATTTACACCATAGATGGTTTCAACCATCTTGGCAACGTGATACAGGGCAATGCCGATTCCGTCAATCCTGCATATTACGGACATTTGGACCATTTGTACAAAAAGGTCCTTGGCATGGGCCCAGTCCACCAGATCACCAAACACATGACAATTCCTGCTGCTATCGAGCTCTTCTCCACCACCTTAAGGGATCCCGTGGCCTATGGAATTTATAAGAATATTGTCACTTACTGGATGAGGTGCGTAAGCCAATGATCGCTTCAAATTAATATAAATAACCGACATGTATCCTCCCGCAGGTACAAGGAACACTTGCCGAGCTACACGCACGAAGAACTTGTTTTCCCAGGTGTTACGATCGAATCCGTCACCGTTGACAAACTCTTGACTTTCTTCGATCACTTTGAATCGTTGGTCAACAATGCCGTATCGGTGCGTAGCCACAAGGAGGCTCAATCCATGTTGATCAAGGCACGTCAGTATCGTCTCAACCATAAGCCTTTTACCTATCACATCACCGTCAACAGCAACAAGAATGTCAAAGCGGTCGTTCGCGTCTTCCTTGGACCTAAATACGATATTCACGGCCACGAACTGGACATAAGCGAGAATTATATGAACTTTGTCGAGTTGGACCAATGGAACGTTGACCGTTAGTACCTACCTCTTTTGAATATCTCTTTTCACAGTTAAACACGCACATATATCATCTTTTATTTCAAATAACTTGTGTAACTTTATTGCTACAGTGAAACCTGGAACCAACAAGATTGAGCGCCATAGCTACGAGTCCATCTATGTCGTTCCGGATGAGGTGCCAAGTGAGGTTCTGTACAAGAAGATGGTGAAAGCTATCGAGGGTGGCGAGACTTTCACTTACCCAGGCCAGCTTTATGGTTTCCCTGACCGTTTGATGATTCCTAAGGGCAAGAAGGAAGGCATGCCATTCAAATTCTTCGTGTCTGTGTCGCACTTGGACGAGACGAAAGCCATCGAGGTGGATTCCCCTGTCTGGGGTACAAACATGATGGACCTCCGATCATTGGGATATCCGCTCGATAGACCGGTTCACACCTTCAACTTCACCGTACCTAACTTCTACATGAGAGACGTTCTCATTTACCACAAGCAGGCGGAAGAATTGAACCTCACTGTATAAAGATTTAACTCGTGCGATCGCCAGAACAACAACTCGGGTCGCGCTGATGAAAAAAGAGATGTACAAATAAGAGAGAAATGTGCCACCATCCAATGTTTTATGTGTAACCATCCAGTGCGAGATAAACCTAACCTAAAATAAATTTTACAGAAACATCATTTACCATTTATTTCTGTCTTGCTTTTCTTTCATTTCAAATTCTAATCAATCCTTTATTCCAATCGACCTTCTAGTTTTTATTTTAATAGAAAAGAAGAAAATATTATTTACATATATTAGCGTATATTCGTATTATCAGTGTTATTTTTACTTCTACTCAAAGCGATACATAGGTGACGAGAGCAAGAGGACGAAAGGAGATAAAACAACGGTGAAAAATATAGATATTGAATATCGATCATCACTGCGTAATAATTAAATATGTGGAAGAAACATTTTTTTTAATATGATATTTTGTTGTATATTATACATATATGTATGCGCGATAGATATATTACGATTTATAGCCGTTGCAAAGCTATAATGATTATAAATTATATAATATATGATGAGCGAATTTTTTCAACAATGATGTGAATGTTATAATTTTTAAATAATAAACATTTCAAAATAACATTTTATTTTATATATTTTACGTATACATTTAACATGCATGATTGACATATTTATTTCAATGATAATAAAATTTATCATTTTAAAAAATAGTTTTGATGTTTATATTATAGATTAGTCAATGAAAAATTCAAATTTATACTTGTATCGTTCACCTGATTGAATCTAACTAAATATATGTACATTATATAATATACAAGAATCGAGCGACTAATAATTTTGATTTACGTTTACAACGCATAATCGTGTGCCCGATACAGGACTTTGTACTAGATTTATTATTAGTTTTGTAGATTAATTAATTTATGTATAATATACCGTTGTCATAATCAGTCAAGACGGCATATAGTGCGGTTTATTCAGCGCTTATCATAGGTCAGAAAAGGAGGACATCTCGAGAGTAGTTAATTATTCTACGAACGTTCAGATACGACCTTTCTAGACAGTAAACTTAATCTAAGCACAGCTGTTGCGCTATCGATTTATCCTATAAAATTTTTACCGCCAACCGACGCGACGAGTTAATCATACTGCATGAAATAAGTATCTATCTGTCGTCTCTATCGAATTTATAAGTATGCAATTGACAAAAGATAAAGAGCAAAACGATTGCTCGCGAATTGTTTATTTCGATTTATCCATCTGCGCAACAGAATTATTTGCAGCAGACTGTATCAAGTAAACGAAATTTTTCATTTATCCTATACTAAAAATATTCTTGCAATACAATTGGTGAAGTTAATTATATTTATAAATAAATGAATGAAATATATTTGACAACTTATTACTTGACTCTTAAATTTTTATCGGCAGGCATATTAGCTAGTGATTAACTAGAGGTCATGATGTGAAGATAAACTGGTAGAAATATTTCACTATGTATTTGCAAGCTGGAAAGATAAATATTTATAAACTAATTTAATCTTACAAGAAATGATGATGATAAATCCAAAAGTTATCGAGAGTGATATTTTTATCAATAAACTGTATCGCATCTCATGTCAGGTTTAAAATAGACTTTGGGAGACAATGTTTTAAAGAAGAATTCTATATAAAATTGTATTGACTGATGAAACTCAATGAAATCACTACTTGATGTATGTACATAAGACACTTTTACAGTTTGAATTCGAGTCAAAAGTCATGCGTGATAAAAGTACACTATTTATATTTGTGAGCAGTGAATATTGTGCAATTAATCTCGTGTTATTCCTCAAAGGGGTAATTTAAGAATTTTGACCTGCATGTGTCGTTGTAAATACGTGCCGCTACATAGAATTTGCGTAAAAGTACTCTCGTGTAGATCGATTTTAGGTATACATTTGAAGATATCCCGCGTGATGACCTCTTGCACGAGAAGGAATCTTTCAACTTTCCGTTTAACGATATGCGTTTTAACAACGGTGTTTATCTGTTGGCGCGACACAAGGCATAACTGCACGGAGAAATGATTGGTATGGCATATATTGGGTGAACTGTTTAATATTGCCGCCTCTCCTCAATCTTTTTCGTCGTATTCGTGTTGAAGATGAAGACAGATACTTATACACTACTGTATCAGTTACGATGCCCAAGTTACCCTGTCGGGACACACAACGGCAAGTAATGAATTGAAATTAGTGATTGACTGATAACAAGGACTAATTCTATTTCACGATCAAACTATTTGATAATAAAATTGATTGGAATAAGGCTTAGCAATCAACTGTTAGCTCAAGTGAGTGAAATGTGTGAGAGCGAAGAATTGGCGGATCCGATATCGAATACGTTCAGTGCCCTGATGACCTATCGATTTGATTGCGCGCTCGACGTAGGTGTATAAAAGTGCGAGTGCACCGTCTAGCGCTGTTCAGAATTGGTCTCGCCACTGCAGTGGCGGTGTTGGAAAAGTTTGGAAAATGAAGTTTCCGACGGTATTAGCCGTCGTCGCGGCCGTCAGCTTCAGCCTGGTAGCAGCCGACTACAATACCATCAAGAGCGCCGACAAGGAGTTCCTCCTTAAACAGAAGAAGATCTATAATCTTCTGTACTATATCTCGCAACCCTCCCTCGTCAATCCTTCGTTGTATGAGGAAGGTCGCTCGTATAACATCGAAGCCAACATAGACTCGTATACTAATACGGTAAATACGAAATCATCTCCGTTCATAATTATATCCTCTAAGGTCTTTTACCAAATAATCATCTGGATCCCTTCGCATCGTTTTCCAGGCTGCGGTGAAGAAATTTCTCCATCTATACGAGTATGGCATGCTTCCTCGTGGCGAGCTCAGCTCTCTGTACTATCCAAAGCTTCAGAAGGAAACGGAGGCGCTGTTTCGCCTATTCTATTATGCCAAGGACTTTGACACCTTCTACAAAACGGCACTATGGGCGCGCATTTACATGAACGAGATGCAGTTCGGTGAGGCCATGTACACCGCGGTTATGCTCCGCAACGATACCAAATTCATTCAGCTGCCGCCCCCTTATGAAATGTACCCATACGGATTCTTCAACTCCGAAGTACTCGAGAAGGCGCACCATGCAAAACTCTTCGGTAAACTTGGTAAGTTTCAATCGAATTAGTTCTGCTCGGAAAAATTAACCATTTGGTTTATCCGATGGAAATTTGTCTCAATAATGATTGAAATATTATCGTTTAACGTAGACTCGAAGAAGTTCGGTGGCTACGACACCTACATCATTCCGGCAAATTATTCCGGATGGTACATGTCGCGCGAGTACGATCTGGAGCATAAGATTAACTATTTCACCGAGGACATTGGCTTGAACGCTTACTACTTCTACTTCCGGCAAGACTATCCGTTCTGGCTAAAGAGCGAGGAATACGGCCTACAGAAGAATCGCGGGATGGAGTATCTTTACGGTCATAAACAATTGTTGTGCCGTTATTACTTGGAGCGGTTGTCCAACGACATTGGTAAAATTGAAGATTTCGACTGGCACAACGAGTTCTACGTCGGATACTATCCGACGATGACCTATCACAATGGCCTGCCGCTGCCACAGAGACCATACTGGAGCAAATTTCCCTACTACAAGTACAAGTATATAAAGGTGCGATTTAGCTTTAGCCTTACTACTAATTACTTAATTAGTGAGCAGTCAGCGAGTAAACCATCATTTATCTCTTACCTTAGGACATAGAAGACATGGAATCCCGAGTATCGGCGGCCATTGACTCTGGATTTGTCTTGGACCCAACTGGCAAAATGATCAACATCTACACACCCGAGGGTCTCAACATCCTTGGCAACATCATCGAGGGCAATGTGGATTCCTGCAATCTCAATTTTTACGGTGGCATCGATTACTTTGCGAGAAAGATCTTTGGATACAACTTGGAGCCGTCAACTCCCTACCAGATCATACCTAGTGCCCTCGAGTTTTATAGCACGTCCATGAGAGATCCGGCATTCTATCGTTTCTACAAAAGAATACTAATTTACTATTTCAGGTATTATCTAGAAAATCATGTTCTCAAATACCTTGGGCGATTAAAATGACAATCTCTTTTCAACAATACAACAATACTGATTTTCAGATACAAAATGCATGAAAAACCATACAGCAAGAACGAAATAATTTATCCCGAATTGAAGGTCGAGACCTTCGTCGTAGATAAGTTAATCACCTATTTTGATCAGTTCGACACCTCGATCAACAACGGTTTGGTGGCCGATGACGCGAAGGAGGCTGAGAGCACGTTGATCAAAATTCGTCAATATCGTCTCAATCACAAACCGTTCAGCTTCCATCTGGCTATCAACGCCGAGAAACCTATGAAAGCCTCGATACGCATTTTCCTCGGACCAAAGTATGATGTTCATCACAAACCGTTAGATTTCGCTGAATATGCGAAATTCTTTTATGAGATGGACAACTGGATAGTCGATCGTTAGTATAACTTGTAAGAAGGTTGAATTTGATTACTATATTCATATGGATATGTATTCTCTCTCTCTTGTGTCGTGTGTTGCAGTAAACGCTGGTGCGAACAAGATTGTTCGAAACAGTCAAGATTGCTTCTTTGCTACACCCGATCTGGAACCGAGCGAGGTACTATACAAGAAAGTGCTCAAGGCCTTGGACGGTTCCGATTCCTTCTCGTATGCGGAAAGAGTCTACGGATTCCCTGAACGGCTGCTCTTGCCCAAGGGCAAGAAAGAGGGTATGCCGTTCCAGATGTTTGTATACGTCAGTCCAGTCGAAGGAGAACCGATCTCTTACACGTCCCGCATCTTTGGTGGTTACAAATACGATAACAAGCCGTACGGCTTCCCCTTGGATAAGCCTATTTACAACTTCCGCTACGATGGATCGAACATGATGTTGAAAGAGGTTCTAATTTCTCACAAGGACGAGACGGAACTGAATGTGACTTATTGATCGTTATTTATATGTTCAATCTTACCTTATTATTTCATTCAATATAACCGTTCTCCATTCTAAACGTGTTTAAATAAAGTATATATGTTTTATATAATTTACACTGAACAATTTCATGAGCCACAAACACATATTAATAATCGTCGACGAAACATAAAAGTTTTAATTTGAGAATATAATTTATGACGACTACTCTTACAATCCTGCATTTAACGACGACTTCTATAAGAGCTGATATTTTAATAAATAGAAAATAACAAGTGTTTGTTACGATTTGAATATAGAACGTAACGTTCTAAAATCAGTTTTCTCTCAAGCAAAATGTCGCGCAAAAAAGACATATTGTACATTTCCATCTTGTTTTTCCCAACGGATTAATCCCGTTGTAGCTGTACTGCGATTTTGGCCGTACTCTGTATTATAATTCATGGCCTTTAACGGGCTGAATACCAAAGCCCGACACCTCCGTACGTTCCTCTACCGCACACGACGGTCAAATACACGGTCAAGGTGAAGGTAAGTGGCCCCTTGAGCGGCGCGATGCGGGTGACGAGAAATTCAGTTTTGCTATGACCGTTGGCTGGTAGACAGGTCCGATCGGCTCGTGTGATAGTCTCGAGAAACTCTTGACAGACGGACATTTCGTTCTTCCTTGGCCCCTACAGTGGATTAACACGCCATGGAATTTCGCACGTTTGTCGTAAGTTACGGATATCACTTTTTTTTATCGTCTACCCTTTAAACGACTTGTGTAGATTGTCTCAACTTTTCTACATTTTCTTTTATCTTTCAACTTTGACAAATTTAGAAAAAGTGTTTCCTTAACAAGTTGACATATCGCATTTGTCATTTTTTATTATTCATAATTTCGAGATAAAAAGTATTACAAGTTTTTCATCTATTCACGAAGCTAAATTTTATTGTGTGTAAATTCGTGGATTCTTAAATACTTTTGTTTAAACGTAATTTTTCATTAAGCTAAGAATTTACAAGATAAGCAGAAGAGAAATATGAAGAAATTAGTTGTACGGATTATAAAAAGTCCAATTTAACACAAGGTCAAAAAGTCTCGGTGATTTATTCTAAAATGCAAAATAAAAAATTGAAGGTATAATCAACGAATCTCATATGATTGTCATTGTTCCATATCTTGTATCTTTCTTATAAAAGTGACGCAATTTGAGAGAAAGAGAGAGAATTACCGAAAGCCATTTAATACAAATAATTTGAAGTAAAATTCGAAATTCGAGTCGCGTTATTCTTGCAACAAACTCGCGATGGATACTCGCGATCGTCAGCAATGTCCCGCTAAATAAATCGAGTCTACCGTTTCTGTCGATACCGGTTCGGAGACGTCATTGTCCTCGTAACTGTATCGGCACTTCCTAACGCTCAGATCTACTGCAAGAAAGTAGAACGGACATCCACCTTTTGCAATGAGAAGAATTCTTACGTTAAAGATCATCAAATTCCATTAATTTGGGACTCGCTAATGAAGAATTACATCTTTCTATATGTATCGTATGTATATTGAAAATAAGCCAGACTGTATCGCGCGTTACGATTCAATTCTCCAATAGAAATTGGTCGTCGATAAAAGCCCCTTGCCGTCTCCTCAAAAACACAACGGGTTTTATCGAGTGTACGTTGCTGTTATGCAAGATTGATATCGATTAATTTATCGTTTTATCATATATGCGATACTTGAACTAATGGTTTCTACGCGATGAAAGTAAGTAGATAATATTTTGCTATGCAAAATCCATTTTCTCAGCCTTGGAAAAATTAATAGGTAAACTCACAATGTTGTACAAGGTGTATGTGAGAAATTACTCTTTAAGGATGTATCGGAAAGTTGGAAAAGAAGAAAAACCTGAGCATATGCGTTGGTATTTTTCTTCCGAGTTATATTAAGCCCTGAATGTGTAAAAGAAGATTCGTCAGTAGAATTGAGTAGAACGGTATAATGCCTCGGTTAGTAGGACAACACGCTCGAGTAACACGCACGTTATAAAATAGGCTGAACAGCCCGCAGCGAGAAGCGTGGAGTGGCGTGGACCCGTGCACCATGGACCGTGTACCGTTAGCATCGTACGCATACCTCGGTAACTACGAGGGAATCTCTCTCGTAATCATCGCCGATGCCAACGCGATGTAACGTAATACATGTTAGCCGTTATCCACAGTCATATGTATATTCATGTAAAAAGCTACTAACGTTCTTCTCTTAGGGTTTAGGTGGATGGAAGCTGAAGAAAATCAAAAGAAGGTTGATCGCGCCAAAATCCATTAATGTTACAGATACCCCACCATTTTTACATCTCGTTTCTCTTGCAATTGCAAGAAATTTATAATTCAAATGCAACGCTAGCTAGGAATTATTGAACTCTTCTTCCGAAATTCTCACCGTCGCGATCTAATTTTTAACTAGAATAATTAGCCTTATTAAAGAGCAGATTAAAAGTTTTAAACGGGAAAGCGAGAATGTTTATAAAATACGTTCATACATCTATGTAACGCATAATTTCGTTTTTGCGTAAAAACAAGATGTTAACGTTATCAAATTATTATCATTTAGATGATACTCTTGTGTGCATCAGCGTATTCCGCCGAAGAAAAGTCGAAAAATACCAAACCGGTTGTTAACGACAACGAGTCCACGCGAACGGACGAACCACCGGAGGGATATTACGCGTTCGTCGAATCACCGAACGCGGAACCACCCAGGGTTCGGCCACCGCCCTACATTGACAGCGATAAAGGATGTTACGGTAGGTCCGGAATACGAGATAAGCAAAGAGAAACCTAAAACTAAAGCTAATTACTCGTACTATGAAAAACCGTTATGTCGACATCGATAGTGGCGTTTAACATCTCCTCTGCTATTTACAGAAGAGTCAAGTTGTCGGTCAAGTTCAAATAGTTCAAAATTCATATTTTTTAATCAACAATAATTAAAGAAATCACTGCTATGTGTGATAATGACTTCAAGCTCAGCATTTTGTGATTCTACATATTAACAATTTATTTTATAATATCGTTTTCTTAGATAACGACAAGCAGGGAAAAGGCTCCGTTTCGATACATAACATCTGCGGAGATTTGAACAAAGGCTATATTCCACGGAATCCGATGAACCAATATGTAAATGGCTCGTCGTATCCTTTGTAAGTGAGAACTAAATCAAATGAATTTATTGTTAGTAATTGGAGATCGGCATAAACAATGACATTAAATCGTTTGTGATTTTTTTTACACAGCGCACTGATAAAGAATCATACTCTCAAGTTCCTCAGCAAAGCATTACCGATCCTCAAGTCTGATGATTCGTTGCCAAAAGTCGCCAAAGTGCATCCGTTGTCGCAAAATTCGTAAGTACTTATTGTTAGCCCGAGACATCCTCACAATCATGAATAGAATTTTTCTGTGTTGTATATTTAATTTTGATCTTATACGTCGAACCAGCTAACAACCTCTCTCCGTAGTGTTGATACAGACGAAGAAGAGAAACATGGTAGAAGCAAAAGATCTAGTCCATTGGATTTGATTTTACCCACAGACTCGAATCGAAATGGTCGCAAGTTTTGCGAAAATGGTAGCGGCGTGTAAGTACATCTCACTATTTCAAAAGTCATTTTAGACGCACATTAGATTCGTAATATTAGCGAATCGGGCATAACGGGCCATTTCATCTACGAATTTTTTTTATGTATGACGAACGTAATCAATTTTCTTTTGACGAAAATATCGACAGTTTTAAAAACGAATGAGTTTTTGAAAATGAAGTTTCGCCTTTTAAGAAGAGAAAATAGTAATAATGTCGTTTCTTTTTCGGCGAACAGAGTGTGCATGTTATATAAAGCGATCCAAGGCGAGCCGATCGCGTCGTCGGCTGCGGTGATTGAACGCCGGGATGAACCTTCGACGAACTCCGATTATCGACGAGGAGAACGCGTACCATCGCAGGAGAAAACGGAGTATACGGGCCCGCCGACGCCGTGTCCAGCCAAAGTCGAATACGCGACTCCGGTCTTCGCCAAGAATTACCAAGGTGTCTGGAGATACGTGGTGCAGATACCTTACGAAGGTTACTTTACGCAGACGATCGAACTCACCAGATGCATGTAGGAACTCGATTAGACTTGGATTTGCAGTATGCGATACAATAACCGCCTAAAGTTTACGGCAAGTACTTAGGCAAGAGTTCTCCTCGTTGCAGGCAATCGAGGTGCCATTACTTGGATGGTGGATGCCTATCGTCGCCGAGATGGACGAGTCTGTTGGTCGCTGAAATATTTTATCCGGACACGTTCCTAGAAGAGAATCAAGGAACTGACTCCGGTATCGGATCTGGTACTCGAGATCCTGTTGTCGGATCCCCACCACCAGTTCACGATTTTCAGAATTATCAGCAATATTTGCAGAAACGCGCGAGCACGGGAGAGGCACGTAACAATGGTGGTGCTCAGCAACATCACTGTGACGGGCTCGACGAAATGGGTTGCTTCCAAGTAAGAGCTTACATCTTCACCTCGATCTCTCTTCTTACGCTACTTTGTCAACGCTTATAATACAATCAAATTTCAGTAAACGATCCTAGTAGCACAATATATTGCCGCAATATTGGGAAATTATGTAAATCCAGTATTCCCAATATTGGTCCAATCTCTTATTAGGGAATATGTTTATTTAGCAATATTGCTCTAATATTGTACGAATATTCTTATTACCTTGTTAAATATTGGCTTTACGTTGGACAATATCGGTCAATGCATTTCTAATATAACCAACATTGGATCAATGTTTGGCTAATGCTACTAAAGGATTGTTTTTTTACTAAGTACAACTATACGTTTCTAAACTTCAATTGTTTAGAAAACTTATAGATTTTGACAATTTTTTCCGCAATGTTTATCGTAATATCTCTCATTTCACCTTATGTTGTAAAAACCTTTAGTAGATTTATTATTCTTTCTTTTAGGTACGGCTATATTACGACTGGTTCTTGGTACCGGGAAGCTGTAAATGCTGGCGGCCGGATTACTTCAATCGATACGTTCGTCGCAGCGGTTCCAATGTCGAATTATGATGAGTTTCACGTAAAGATATGTATTTTGCATCCCGATAAAATATCATGTCGATTTACGAGTGATTATTTCAATCGTCGCTAAATGATCGAGCGTACCAAGTTGGAGCGATTTATCCGAGTCATTTCAAATATGTCGCACATAGTCAAATATTGGCACGTTTGCTTACACGAGATCTTTTTCGCTCATGCGTTACAAATCATTGTTGACATTATTCGACATTAGTTTTTTTTATCACAATTAAGTGTGATAATTCGTAGCATTACAATCGAATACATTTGATCATAACATTTCTCTTTGAGCTTTGATGTAGCCATTTGTCGATAACATAATATTATAAACGTGTGAAAAAAGATGAATTTTATTCATTGTAATTGAAAGAAAAGAAACAGGCAGTTGAAGAAATAACATGACAAATAAAATGGAAAAGAATATTGTGATACAAGAAAGTATTATTTCCAGATCTAAAAAAATAATTTCAGATTCAGAATGTAAATTCTTATCTCTTTCCACATACACTGTCTATGAAATTGATACAAAATTACCACGTATAAGACGAAAATATAATTTTAGTTATAAGAAAAAAAAACAAAATAATTGTTTTATAATTATATACTAGTTTTAATAGTGGACCACAGAATATGTGTCATTACAATTTTACTACAATGTTACAATGGTAATTATTGTAGTATTCAAAATTATAATAACAATTATTATTATAACAAATCATATAACAAATATTTATATGTATGTGTGGCATTATAATAATAATTATTATGTTATACTATTATATTTCGCGTGCGTCATATGTTTGTGTGTGTGTGTGTGTCTGTGTGTGAGCGTGTGTGAGCGCGAGCGCGTGTGTATATGTATATACATGCACACATAGTATAAATTATAACTATTGATTAAATAAAAAATTATTGTTCTCTTGTTTAATTTATTTCTTTGTTAACCATCAACAGATTCAGTTAAAAATAGTCACAAGACAATAAAGTTCTGTTAATCATTACAAAGAAATAAAATATGTCATGCGAGACAATAGTAGTATATACCAATTACAAGTTTGCTGTTTACTTTTCGTCAATACGATTATAGCATTGACTAATACTGAAATTATAATATTATTCTTATTCTATACCTACAAATGTTATTAATGTAACGAAACATATTACATATAAACAAAGAAGCACGACATTCATTAATAAATAATGACTTTTATTTTAATTAATTTTGTGAATTCACATATGCATGTTACAATTGGGCTATTTGAAAAAGATGTTTCCTATTCTTCTTTCGCGTAATATTTTAAAGGTTAATACTCAATCTATGGCACATAATTGCATCTGAAAACTTAAATAAATACCTGTTCTACTTTGTAAAACTGTTTTAGCATCGCGTTATTCTTTTTATATCTTCATCTTAATGACTAGATTAAGTCGACCCAGTATTTTCTTTTACAAAACGGTAAGTACAATATGTAAATAGGTGATAATAAGAAAGTTAAGCAAACGAGTAATTTGCATCTGAAAATAAACGCGTACGAGCAAATGAAGAATAAAAAGTATATGTACGATTCACTATCAAAGAGGGAATTGATTATAAATCTCAACAACTGACCATGTGTATACCAACACACGCGCGTGCGTACACACAAAAAGACCTATCGTTAGAAATGTCATTATATTTTGCGCAAATACTTAGGCTTGTCTTTTAATTCGATTTAATATTATCTACACGAGTTTTTAGCAAATAACATAATATCGCTTTATAAGATAAACGCTTGCATGAACACGTACCGTTATTCGTCATCATTTTACAAACATTCTCACATCGAAACGTAAATATTTTCGTCGAATGTATTCCTGTCATTCACGGCATTCGCAACATCGTCGTACAATGTTACTAATATACAATTTCGGTAAGCTTCTTTCGTTATTCCTTAACTAAAATATTATAAATGCACATGTCGTCCCACATGTAATTGTAAAGTCTTAAAATCTGAAGAAGCACCATTATGTACATGATGATGTAAAATGACAATTGTTTCACTACAGTATTTACAAAAAGGAAACAATCGCACAAACGTAAATTGCACGCGTATGTATATTGGCTAAATAGGTCTATAAATGTCTTCAATCACGACACATTTTCTTCGTTGAACATTAATTTAAAGAAATGCCTTGTATCCACGAACTGAGATCGCTAGTATCTTCGCAACTAAGACTCAGCGCGTGCTTCTCACATTGTTTGGTGCCCAATAGTAATTCAGCCGCTGTTCGACCAGTCAGGTACGCCCCATGTACGGTACTGTAGAACGAGGAATGGGTATGTTCGCCCGCAAACGCCACGAGAATTTTGATCGGTTCGTCCGTCTCGTCTTCCGTTTTCTCTTGAACCAACGGCTCGGCCAAACTCTTGATATCCAGTTGACTCGCTCCGACAGCCATTGCGGTGTAAGAACCTCGCGTGTACGATTGAGAATGCCATGTGGTGCGCACACAGTTCTTCGGGGTTGGTACGAAGGGATCGTTTAGGAATCGCCGCAGGATCGTCGTGCACACATCTGCTACTTCAGTGGTACTTAGTTCTTCTATATATTCCGCGGCGCGACCGGAGATCCAACCGAGCAGCAGCGTGTCCGAGATCTTGATGAAGGAATATATCTTCCTAAACCAGGTCTTACTGATGTCCCACTTCTCCGTTTCGGATAATCGCTCGTCGTCCCAGAGGAGCATCACTTCCGATACACCGGGATTTAAGAAAGGACGTTCGTACTCGAGAAATATTTTATTCACTGTACCGAACATTAGTCTGTTTATTGCGTCGAGTTTGTATGCGGGTAACGACGGTTCGAACATATCCTGAGCTGTCCTTTTCAAAACGCCCAACGGTAATGTACATACTACATGCTCCGCGGTGATCTTCTTTCCATTTTCACATTGTACTTCTATAAGGCTATTCGATTTAGAATCAGATTTTCCCAGAAGGTCGACATCGTCCTGGCAGCACTTTGGTTTCTGCCACCTAAAAGAAATGAATATTACACCTTTATTACAGGTGTGTCAAGATGTATTTCCTTGTATACGAATACATAATTCGGTAGAAATTCACCTAATCTTTGTTACAGCATGCTTCGTAAGAATACGATCCTTTGGTATGTGTTTCGAAACCGGCTCCAATATAGCGCTATACCCGGTAGGAAGACTGATATTACCGCCTTGAAGCTCGTCGTAGGAGCCCATTTCCAGGAGATCCACATCGTCCATGCTGTCGCAGCCTGTGACGCAGGTTTCTCTCTTGAGTAAACAGTCAAAGATCAGTTGTCTTATTCTTCGTTGTTCAGGTGGTAGAGACGACAGATATATCTCTGCTTCCAGGGCGATGTGCGCCCCTACGCTAGTTATACCATCTGGCGGACTGTACGTGCTCAAAAAGTATTCTTCGCATCGTCTCAAAAAGCATACGTAAGCCTCGTAAATCTCTCGCAACACGGGAAACGGCAACTGTTTCCCATCTTCCAACGCTGCCACTACTTTATGAGGTTTCGGCACGTGCACAATGTCTATTAAACCGTTGGCCATCGCCAACTCAAACATGGGATTACCTAACACTCCATGAATCCAGTTTGCTCCTAACTCAACTTTATCGTTGCCTAAATAAGATGGATGGAAAAAGAGACTTTTTTTATTCCGTATTCTATCATGTTCTTAAGTTAATGCTAGTTACAACACCTCATTCTGCTTCTATGCAGGATACTCTGTCGTTTTACACTTTTACATTAAGTTAGCTTTAATTGGAAAAATAATCAAGTATACAATTGACCAAAAATTTCGTGACTAAGGATCGTTACAAATATTGTCTTTTTTTCCGGATACAATTCAATTTTTCTGCTTACACGTCAAAGTTGTACCTTCCGATCTTACAAAATCCATCTAAAGATATTTACTCCGAAAAGCAGACGTACATATACGTCTTCTAAAAGTACCGATTCCACATTTATTCATCACATAATTGACAAGAATTGGTACATGTAGAAATGTTACACAAGTGAATGGTGATTTTAAGCGTCCTAACGTATAATTACGGCTACAATTCTAGATTCGGTCGACTGTTATATCACAGAGGAAATAAATTTAGAAACGAGTTAAACTTGTTAAGATAAGGAGAGGTTAGGCTGATCGTACCGACTTGCGCCGCGATGATTCGTCCACCTGTACGTCCGCGCGCTTCGACTATAAGGAAATCCGTCTCGCTGTTCTTCAACAAATGAGACGCCGCCGACAATCCAGCCATACCGGCACCGATAATCAAGATCTTACATGACAGTCGGTCATCCTCCGAATTGTTCGTAGACTCCGCCATGTTTGTTACATATGAGCGATGTCGGCTGTCACAGCAGCTCTCTCACAGCTGTAATCAACGCGCGCGTGCGCCATCATATATTGGGGCCACACTAGGGATATTCTCTTTTCTCCAATTATGGCCTGTCGCCTGTGTCCATTAGCTGTCTCACGGATTTCCGAGTAATTCCGTCGATAATGTTCTTTGCTGATTTAACGAGTAATCCGCACTATTATAAAAATTAAGTTGCAGTATCGGGACTTTTTAGATTTAGAGAGATGTCTAATTCACTCGTACACAAGAGCTTAGAATTATTGGGATACGAGAAAAATTTGCAGAAAGGTTAGTTTGTTGAAACAGCACGTGTTTTGTGTTACGTATATTTACAGAATCAAAATGCACAGAGATATTTATTCGAAATGACAACTTACAGAACAAAGGAAGAAGAAGAAACGTAAGGATATTAGATATAAAGGCATTTTGGACCTGATTCCTACTAGACACAGGATCGTCTCTGAAAACGACAAGACAGGTTATCTCATATGGAATTTACTTTGTTTTTTTTTCCATATAATTATAGATTATAAATCATATGTGAGAGGTAACATAAAATCATTGCTTTCTTTTTCTAGATCTCGGTACTATTTTGGGTCGATCTAGCAGAACTACTGTTTACGAGGCTCAGAAACGTTTAGCTACTCAAAAAGATTCTACCGACGAAAATGTACAACGACTCCTTTTACTTAGTAAAAGTCAGATAAATCCTGAAACGACGAATAACGTACGAGAAATTAATCATGTTTTATATAAACTTGTTAACCTTGCACTTCTCACACCTTTTATAAATACCATTTCGCTTCTCTCTTTTAGAGTTTTGATCTGTTGCATTTGTATTCTACATTACTGCATTTAATACTTTTAAGATGTAATGTATAATAAGAAAATTTGACCAGTTGAGGTTCTAGAAAAATGATAATTTTTGTAAATTCGTGGAATATTCTTAATTAATCCACAAAATAATATATTTTTTAGCTGTTGCAACGTGCTGTAGGACGACGATACATTCAACAAGAGAAACCTAAGAAATCGGAAGAAACAGCTTTCACGGAAGAAGATTTCAAGAAATTTGAACAAGAGTATGTTGAATGATATCGATAGTGACATCGAATTGTAAGAAATAGCAGAATGTACAAGCCGACAATTCTATTAAAATATAATAGAAACGCTTAAGAATGTTCGACAGCGATCGTCAAAAAGGAAAAGCGATATTAATATCGACATTTGTCTTGTTTCTGTACTATACTGTGTGGGTAATTGGCCTGCCGTTCGTCGACGACGATAGATTGAGATCTCTTTTTTACTCGCATAATCTGGCCCTGATAATTCCCGCGAGTCTCGGACTAATTTTTATCGGTGGTTTGATAGTCTTTACCATGTATCATGTAAAACCATATTTGTTCCATAAAATAGAAAAAGTGGAGTAGCAATTTAGCAGCAAGTTATCAAAACGTACAGTGGCATAGTTATCATTGTAACGTGTCATCATATACGTTGCGTTGTGTAATACCCGTACATACAACTATATGAGTGCCGTAACGGTGGGATATTTGTTATATAACTACATGATGCTGCATCATTCCACACGCTGAATTATCTAGTAGAGTAAACTCGTTTCTATATCACGTTGAGCACTGCTACGGAACTGACAAATTAAAAATGTCGAAACAGTGGTTTGTCGTTGGTATATCTGGAGCAACTTGTAGTGGAAAAAGTACATTGGCTGACAAGATCCACGACAATTTTCCAACATCTATTATGTTGCGCCAAGACGATTACTTTTTGCAACTGGACGATCCACGTCACGTTAAGATACAGGAATTAAGTCACATCAATTGGGAATTGATAACGAGCCTGGATATGGAGAAGATGTATTCGGACGTGACAAAGATACTTGAATCTCCCGGGAAAAATGGGACGGATTCGAAGATGCTACTGATATTGGATGGTTTTTTGCTTTTTAAACATAAAGCCATCACAGATTTGTGTGACTTTAAATACTTGTTATTGTTGACGAAGGAGCAGTGTTGGGAACGAAGAAAAGATCGTATATACGAGCCGCCTGATGTACCAGGATATTTTGACAAAATAGTATGGCCCGAATTTATCAAGTACAAAAATGAAATTGTACGAAACGAGATACACGAGACCGTAACATTCATCGATGGATCCAAGGATGTGAAAGAAATTTTTGAAATGGTTTCCAAAGAAATTAGTAAATTACTATCTTAAGAATGTAACTCCTCTTATTTAATCATGGACGTAGTATAAATGGACCCACCATGCACTCTGTCTCACTCGGTTATTCTGGCTTGACCAGTTCATAGAGCGTATGATGGTTCCATTTATACTACGTCCATGGGTTTAATCCTCGGTTTAAAATGAATGTAACTCTGTTTATGATTAAGTTCAAATTGTATACAAGTATCATCAGTCTGAAACAAAACAAAAAAAAGAAGAGTAGTGTTCTTTTATGCATTCCGAAAGAAGTAAAAATTGAAGTGGACCTTGTGAAGTTATTTAATATCGCAATTTGAAAGTTTTCAATAATTATAAGCTCCTTTCTGATACTTTTCCATAAAGATTTTTTTTCTTAAATAAGTGTTTACTTTTAACGTTTCATATAATGTTTACCAATCAACTTATATATGTTTATGCGTACACATGCATGAAAATCTGAATCTTTTGTGCCTTAAGTAATATTAGAGGTGCAATAATTTGCAACAAAATTATTGCTGTATATTAATTTCCATAGTTGTAGCATGTAAGCCTTCTGGACATTTTTACCAAGTTATGGACATACAAGTTGACTAGCAATTTGGGACTATCTTGTACAAAATGAATCATTTATTATTTTTTTATAACAACAATGGGCATGACGTTAGAAGCTTACTTCAAAGAAGCTAACTATTTCGTACGAATCATCACGGATTTATATGTATAAACTTAGTTTCAAGTTATATGTTACAGAGACTTTAATAAATACATGATTTTGTACGATTGCTATTTTGCGAAGATAAATTGTGAATAATAATATTACAGTATATCTCATCAGTCTGTACTATTATATAAATAATAAAATAAAATCTCTGTAACGTATATGTACATGTACCTCGTTATAACTTAATTCAACCTATATTATATATGTATAAAAAAATTCTTATTCATAAATTGTTTACAAAATAGGCGATGCCCAAGTCGCAAAAATATTTCCCTAATTACTATCGTTATTCCAAAAACAAGCTTTCAGATATTGAAGTCTTGACTCTCAACAAGATTTTTGTGATTTCTCATTAATTTTTAATAAAGATAACACACAACGACATATATCTGTTACATAGAGTAGGTATTTTGTTTAATTTGACCTTGCGCGTTTGTGACGTTTGTCGGTGCAGGTCCAGCGGCTTGATCGTCTTGATCGTTTTGCCCGCAAGCTTTTCGAACGTATTGTGGGGTTAGGACAACTTCCTCTTCCATCTCTAGTACTCGTTTATCTAGTTCTGTGCAGGCTGCCATTTCCTTCTCAAAATTTGCAAGCATTTGCGGTGAATTATATTTTTCAGGATCGTCGTGAAATACTACCATACCATCTTTTTGATTAATAGTCGCAAAAATTTCGCCATCTTCAATCTGAGAATACAAACAGATAGCTATGAGAAAAATTTCACTTATAAATTAACAAAGAATAAAATGTTGTCTTCCACTTGAATTGAGTTTTAACATAGAGAGAGAGAGAGAGAGAGAGAAGACAAGAGAGAATATCTTAATAATTATTGTCATTAGTTAATATATCATATTTGTTTCATATTGCACAACGACAGAACTCACCATGTTCAAGATGTATTTTTCCGCTTCGGCAGGTCCCGACAACTGAACTCTGCTCGCAACATCACTTAGGCTAAGCGTGAGGAAAGTCTTGGTGAGCCTTTGTATATTTTTCTTATACAAGAAAGCGAGCACCTGTTTGACAAGTCCCAGGTTGTGATCCCTCACAAATACTTGTTGATACTTGGTGATATTGTTCTGTACTTCTTCGCAGCTATTAACCAGGTAGGCCGTAGCCAGTTCCTGATATTGCTGGCTCAACGGCTTGATGTATCTGTTGATCACCTGGCTCGTATATCTCGGCAGATTTAACACTTTGCCATGCAATATCAGCGAGATCAAAATGTACTTTTTGTAGGCCTCCAGCATGATGTAGCTAACTGCCATTGCGGGGGTCGTCACGCACACTTCGAAGAAATATAATGCCCGATCATAATTCTTTAATGCTGTATATATCATGCCGCCATAATAATAGTACAATAGGAAATATTTCGAGTCAAATTGCCCTCCTTCCTGGCTAATGCCGGTGACATCTATGTCGAGAAATTCGAGCGCCGGTTTAAAACACTTGGACAGAAGACACAACTGGCAAAGATCCGCGTGTATCGATGTCAGCTGACTGTCGAAGAGTTGTATCTTGCGTATGGAGCGGCGTAACAATTCGATTCCACGTAACGGTGTTTTCGACTCAACTAAGCTCTGTGTAAACAGGTGACACAAGTCTGCGTCTGTAAAAAGGGTTTTATTAACGTCGCATCTAATAAATATAACTCAATTTGGAAAATCTTATTTAATGAGAAAAATGAATGGGCCAGTTGAAATTAACCAATGTAAATTCATCGCCCACGATACGTGCAATAAGCATGGTATAATGGAAAAATTCTGCCTGTACCTTAGCTTTGTTACACCAAAAGCTATTCTTACTCTCTTACTCCAGGCATTGTAGACGACGCATTTAGAGTTGTAGTGAAATTAAACTTGTAACGAAAAGCCTTACATGTATCGGGTGCAAATCTAACTTGCTCTCCATTACAGCCGATAATAAACTCCTGGACTTGATTGAACAAGAGTTTATGTGCATCGGGATTACTTCCACCGTTAGGAATGGGCAGCGAAAATTTGGCGCAGAGCACCGCCAGGATACCTAACGAGTGTTGCTGCAGATCCAACGTTTCCAAAACATTGTCCAAGTGCTGCCCATTCTTCGTTAATACCTCCACGCTTTTACTTATGATGTCATACAGTTCCCTAAAATTGCCTGTACATGCAAACAGGTTATATCAAATTCTTTTCTTATCCAAGCGTTTATAGATACAAAGCTAAATATACAAAGAGAATTTTCTTCCAGAGAAATTCTCTATGATTCGTCTCGCTCTTTGCTATTTTGAGGTTAAGTTGTGCGATTTAGCAATAGCCAGGACTCTGCCATACCTTGCTTCGAAAGCGTTCGAACGTTATTTACAAATTGCTCCAATGCCGATGCCATTACTGCAGATATTCTCTTATCATCACTTTCGCTCAACGTTTCACGATTGCCTACTTACGGAAATTACATTCGCGAGCTAACATTCGGCCACATTCGGCTCAGCAATGACGTTTTCAAACAGAGGTACAACTACTGAAATCTATCTTTGTCGTACAGTCAAGTTCAAAAGTTTTCGTCTATCTTAAAACTTATGGAGAATAACGATACATTTTCAAACAATATATTCAAAGATGCACATAAACAATGATTGTACACGTGAATCTTTCATCAACTTGAGTTACTCTGGTAGCAACCATCTTAACAATCCAAGCAAAGCTTTAATAAATTTTTTATGTCACTTGTACAGCATGCGTTTCTGCGCAGACGCAGTGACGGAGAGAGAGAGAGAGAGAGAGACGATTTTGTGACGTCATGTTAGTTCAAGGCTCGAAAAGTTGACATTTTCCAACTTCTGTAGCGCCAAAACGTCGCAATTACGTTTTTGTTTTTGGAAAGCTATATTTTTAATTAATTATTAAAGCTATATTATTAATTTAATTTGTAAATAAATAAAAATATAGCTTTCCAAAAACGAAGACGTAATTTGAATTTTATTAACAATTAATTTAGAACAAGAAATTCATATCTTGTGCCGAAATGCATTTGTCAAAGTCAAACGTTTGGGCTCCAAGATGGCGGACGAGTCAGCTGTCCTTTATGTAGTAGCTATACGTACATACAACACGTCTTCTAACCTAGAAGATGCGCTTGAAAAGATGAATAGGTCAACAATTTGAACACTTTTCATTTAAAAGCTATTATGGTACTTTAGTATTGGGATTTTCGTCTCGAAATGATTTGAGGAATCTACCATTAACGGCCGTGAGACGTCCAATATAAATTGGATAATTCCTTTCAGCTGTACGCCATCAACAGCGATCGATAAACAACGCAATCCCATCCCAGCCAATAATTCTGTTGCCAGGTAGCCGACGATCGATTATCCACGGCTAACAATTGAAATAACGTACGGGGTAATAGTTGTGCTCGATCTCCCGGACACTCCCGTCGGAGAATGTCGAACGCGACATACGACGAGCTTTGGAGAGCGGCCCAAGTGTCGCTCGCGGAGACGATACAGGCGGACACGGTGCTTCAGGGTGCAAAGCCCCAAAAGGAGCGTAGTAAGGCGCACGACGTCGTCGCGACGTTCTACGTGAAATATATCCTTACGTGTAATAAACTCGAGCGATGTTACGATCAAGTGATACAGCCTCAGAAGCGCCTACTGCTCAAGAGATTGTTAAACGCCACTCTGGGCAGAGTGTTGGAGTTGAAGCATCAATTAGTCAACATCGATCTCTCGGAGCACAGCTACTACGACGACGTGCTGATCGAGTGCGGCGTCACGCCGCAGGAGGCCGAGATCCGCGTACCGAGGTACTACAGACGCGATCGAATCGCCGAGATCGAAGCGAGACGGAGATTCATAGAGGACACGCTCCGTAATCTGGGCGCGTTTCACGAGATCGCCCTGCCCATAAAGATTACAGAGTCTCAGGCTGTACGACTTATTCAGGTATTAGCGGCGCTACGACAAAATTCAGACTCTTGCTTACAGTCGCGCTTCCGAAAAAGCTGTAGCTCCAAACACCAATCCCATCTCACGGATGTATTTCTTTAATTTAAGTATTTATTCAATATCTATGTTTACTAAGATATCAAACACCATCTCGCATCCATCGACGGTACACGCTTTCATACATATGTATATGTATTTGAAATCTAAAAGACGTTCCAAATCAACCGTAAGCTTCAATACTTCAGGCTCACGAACGAGCGAGACAAGGTAGACTGCGGTACCAATTTATGAAAGAAGTTGGCGAAATGAAGGAAAGATCGACTACCAAGCCAGAAGTGCAGGAAAAGGATGAAGAGAGCGAGAAGCTCGCGGCACTGAAAATTCAAAAAGTATGGAAAGGATATATCACTAGATGTTACATTCGCAAGAGGCGTCTCGAGGAAATGTTACTTATAGGTAAGAAAGAAAATCGCAACGTATGGCGCAATATATTTTGCTAAATTTATCCAATCGTAATGAATTTCTCTAGTCTAGCTGTTGTCTTTCGAAAAATGAAGAAAGAAAAGAGAAAAATAAAAATCCGGTTCTGCATGCACGAGTGGTCGTTGATTTCAAGTTGCTGCGTGTTTTATTCGATTCATGTGTCAAAGTGTCAATCATGTCCAAAGGAATGCTACAGCCTAGTCAAGTGGTGACTGAGAGCGCCAGGCAAGCGGAGAGACTGAAACAGCAGAGGTACGAAAAGCAGGTGGATTTTCAACGGCAATACGAAAACTTGATTCTAGAGGCCACGGAGAGAATTCGCAAGAAGAGAAGCGCTATTATGGAAGAAAACATAAGGAGTGAGATTCGAAGTTGGATCGACACTTATTTTCAACAAACTGGAAAGATACCTGACTTACCATCTGTCGAAAGCGGAGGTTCGCGTATCATTTTCAGCAGGCAGGTAAAGTATCGCGCGATATGTATAGTCATTTTCAAGTCGTATAGTTTCAGTGATCAAATTCTACTGTTTTCCGATCAGCTTGACGCATAGACATAATATATCTAGACCGAGCGTTTGCCTTTATTTGAGCAGTGGGGGTAGAGGTTCACGTAGAAAAGAACAAATTCTGTTTTCTGCTATTTTCTGTCCTCTCTTCTTCATATGCGAACGTTTAATTTCTATGTACAAAGTGTTACGGCAGACTTAAGTTCTTAGCATAATTTTTGTCACAGGGTACCGAAAGTACCGTAAGTAAGTCCACGGCGGTATCGTCCAAGGAGTCAAAAAAATCGAAACGTTCAAAATCGAAGAAAGACAGCGAAACGGAGCAGTCAGAGGACGAGACGGATTTAGGATTCAAACCTGTCCCCTCTAACTTTCTGCCGGAATTGATTCACGCGAATCAAGAGTATCAGGATGTTTGGAAGGACAAGGACGAATCAGCGAACCCGATGCAATTGCCATATCGCGATATAATAGAAGCGGAAAAGACAAGGGAAATCGAAGACCAGGTCAGAGTAGTCGTGGATCAGGCGATGAGAGGTAGATAAAACTATATTTCTCAAGAAAAGAAGAAATTCAATGAAAAACAAACTCTTTTCTCCCTACCTTTTATTGCAATATTCGATGTAATAACTCATCCTGTTATACTGGTTAAAAATTATTACAAGGCATTACAAACAAATTATGTGTATTATACAAAGCAAAGAAGCTGCTATGTTGAGATTATGTTTATTCAGATTAACACGACGAATTTTGTTTCGACATTTGTACTAGTAACAACGTAATATGATATTACGATTAGGTGACATAGAGGCTCTTCAGCTTGCGTTAGATAGAGACAAAGGTTTCAAAGGAAAACGCGCCAAGAAACCTCAAAAAAGGGTTCGCAGAAGCGGAAAGAAGAATAAGAGAAAGAAGGAGAAAGATCTAACACCCGACAGAACGACCGAGTCCCTTTTCGAAGAGCTCCTCACACAAGGAATTATTAAGCTTCATCATCAAGTTTCACTAAACGAGTTTAAAGGTGAAAAGTCCTTCGCGAACCACGATCTTCGTATGAAGGAGAAAGATCCGCTCCCAACACTCGGTACATTTAAATAGCATAACATAAACAAATTTAATTATTATTTTATTAACAAATAAAAATGTTTCTTCCGATATTTTTTCATTGGAGAAAATTGTTTCCAAAATTTTCCAAAAGATTTGTCGTCGAAATATTTCCAAATCCCAATTGGGAACATCTTTTGTAGTAATGAATTAAATTACATTAGGCGACATAAGGCAACTGATCGCCGAGTACTGTATACTTCCGTTGGGTAATGAAACTCTGAGAGAACTCACACCTCTCGTGAGATCAGTTCTGATAGCCGGTCCACATGGCAGCGGCAAAAAGCTCTTGGTGAACGCGATCTGTACGGAACTTGGAGCTACGCTCTTTGATATTACGCCGGCGAATATTGCTGGCAAGTATCCCGGCAAGTCGGGTTTGATTATGCTCGTTCATCTGATCTCAAAGGTTCGTACTAAGGCTCTAGAGACTTGTGCTTTGGATAATAATTAGGAATGGACAAAAATTACTCCATTATTTAACATCGATGCTTTTTATCTCGATACGACACGAATCGAATTAATGCACCATACTGTAATCCGGATAATCATTCGTTTTTCAAAAATTGTCACACATTAAAATCATAGCAATGGAGTATTTGTATCAAGACTTATTAGTTATTTCAAGCGGGAAAGGCAGGAAGCTCGAGGAAGGGAAGGGCTTGAGACCGATTATTATTCATTGATTGAGATGATTATTCATTTCTGTTTCAGTACAGTTGATATTCGATTCTTATAAAAGTTTAAGTTCGACCAGTCAAGATATCTAAGTAATCTTCTGTCTATAAGTTGAACGTACACAATATTGTATCAAGTGTACTAACGACTAGTAATTCCCTATTGCCGAAGGTATCGCGATTACTGCAGCCGTCAGTGATCTTCATGGACGACGCGGAAAAGCCGTTTGTGAAGAAAGTAGCAAAAACGGATAAGACCGATCCGAAACGTTTGAGAAAAGATTTACCAAAACTGGTAAAGAATATCACGAGTGAAGACAGAGTTTTGTTTATCGGAACATCTAATAAGCCTTGGGATGGCGATCCAAAACTCTTGTATCAAACTTACGACAAAGTCATATACATTCCTAGACCGGATTATGGCACTGTATCTTTCATATGGAAAGATTTGTTATACAAAGTAAGCAGTATAAAGTGTTTTAATAGCAATTTCATGAATTGCTATTTTAAGTATTTATCATCTTTAATTAATATTCATGTATTAATCGTTCAATAATAATCACCTAATCTTAATTTATTATACGGAAACTATTATGCACTCAACTATTATCTTGCTGATATAACTTGCAGATTTTTATTTTGTTAAACAAAGTTTATGCTGGGAATGAATAATTTATTGTTACATATAAAAAAATTTTATTTTTAGTATTCGGGTATTAGTCGACAATTTGACACGTCGGCCGTAGCCAAAGCGTGCGATGGTTTCACAATAGGAACTATTTTAGCAGCAATCAATGAGGTTGATAATCAGAATTACAAACATCGTTATCAGTGCTTATATTATCTTAAATTTAACCTTTTGTCATGTATTACATATTACGATGCAGATAATGACTACAAAGCGTATGGTACAATTACGAGCTCATCCTTTAACGCACGCGGAATTGGTGAATGCGTTGAGTTTCAAGGATCCAGTATATCGCGAAGAGGAAGATGCGTTTCTAGGTTTGTCGTCATGCATAGCGCTTAGAATTGCAAGTGTTAGACCTTTAGCGAACTTGAACTTGGAATTTAATATTACAGCTTGGTTTTCCAAAACACCAACGTGTCGACGGAAACAAAGAACTTTGGAATTGGAACTAGAAAAATTGAACGAAGCAAACGAGTCGCAGAAAAAGAAAAAAGGAGGGAAATAGTGGATATAATAAAGCTCTCCTATCATTACGAGATATATGTTAACAAAACTATATTTTATACGATACATTATCGATGGTCCTAAAAAGTATCCATCATACAACCGTAATAAAAGTCACTGAGACAGAGAAATAAAACATTTTAATATGCTTTTGTTTGTTTCGAATCTTGTTTATATAACTTGCAGATTTTCTGCTGTCCAAAATAGCAAAATTAATACTTTATATGAAGCAATATTGCTCTTACATATTATAACTATTCTAACTTTTTCTCAAAGATGAGAATCAATCATTAAAAGAACAACCAAATTAATAGACGAACGAAGACATTATTCGACGTATTAATTAATCAAAGTAAAAATTCATTGAAATTAGACAAAATCATTTATTTCTAATTTTTCTAATATCTGTAAGTTATAAGAAAATTGTACTTTTATCGTACTAGAGATAAAAATAATTTAAAAACAACCGAAGGCAAAAATCGAAGAGAAAATAAAATGCAACAAGAATACGGTCATTCCACACGTATTGTTAACAATTGATTCAACATTTGTGTGCTATATGGGATATACATATAGTGAACGAAGGTAGACTGATGCTTTTTCAGCGCTAATAGCGTCTCCATAAACGCAACCATTGTAGTAAAAATTTTTAACTGTTTTCAACTTTTCCGAAGATAGAAAATATTCGGAAGATAGAAAATAATTTAAAAGACCAACTTAAAGTGTAAACTATAACATGAATAGTATTTTTAGTATTATTACATGTATCGTTTCGTTATCAAATAAATAATCATTTATTATTAATATCCAGAATTTTGAGGAAAATTGTCAAACGTAACACATTGAAATCTTCTGTTTCTATTAGCAAATATATCGTAATAAATATACAACTCAAAATGTTTCCCTATATTTTTAGTTTTTATTTAAAAATAACAAATCAAAATATAGCACATTTTTCAGTTATAGATTATTCGAGGAAAGCTATAGCATGAAAGCCGTAGCAACAAATAGTATTTAAAGTTTGTAATATAAATTATATTAGTTTATTATATAATTAGAATATAATTCTATATATTTTTAATATGTAGAAAGTGTAGAATAAAAATATGTAATTTTCTTCATATTGCTACCGGATTGATAAGGTTGCTCCTTTGGTACGCTAACTGTTACGAAGTATCCATTTATCTGACGAATTAAATCGTGAACATATGATCGTTGCGTTTTGTCACAGGTCAAAGAGTCACTATTACGCCATTGATTGCATTTTTTGAAATAATAAATAACTGACATATATGTACATCAATCTGCAAATATATACGTACATATATTTATGAAAACGTTCTTTTTAAATAATATATTTATAAAGAAAAAAAACATATTATTTTTCTGTAAAATAGGATAGTACAATTCTTCGTGGGAATAAATTGTCTATAGAATAAACATTGTTTGCCTATAAAGCGCGTGAATATGTTGTCTTTCTGTAGAAAACATTTGATTCTTTATATATTATTAATAATTTTTTATTTACTAACATTCTTTTATTTTCAACTGTATACATTTGTAATAATCTTTAGAAGAAAATTGATAATAATTTTCCATCACGACTTGCCCGTTTGATTTCATTCTCGTAATCGCTTCCACGTGATACATTGCGTGACGGAGCACACAAAATTGCATGCCAAATAATCGATTATTTATATCTCGATCTCCGTCGCGGCACGACATTTCCCTGTCGATATCAACGTCGATTTTGATTACAGCATATACAATCCGTATCGTTGTCACTTACAAACTGGCATCTGCGGTACTAAATAGGATGCCTCCTGCTTGCCTTTGGACGATGCCACAAAGGTCTTGTTAAGCTCAACGATAAGTTATTTCGGACACTTTCTTTTGTGAACGCATTGTTATTCGACTATTATTTTAGTCAAGGCTATTACTTTGGGATAATATTCTAGTAAATCGCATGAGAATTACATTTTTAACAAAGTATAGTTTTGCCTTTTCAATATGTATAACAGATATTCTACATCTCGTGCATATTATTTCATTAAGAATTATCTGTCTTGCTTTATCTTATTCTAACTGTAAGAAAACAAAACGTAAGTCTTTTATGAGTAATAGAAAATCGAGATTTTATAGAATATCCATAAGATTGTTCTTATTGTTTCTATTGTCAAGCGTATCGTTTTTATCTATATTCATGAAATTTATTATCATATATCATTATCACTTCCAACATTTATGCAACACAGACCGTGCGATGATAAGAAATTTATTTACATTTTATTTACATAATTTTAAACTTAATGTCGAGTAATATCACTTAAATTTGTTTTTTCAGTTTTTCACGAAATTATTACATAAATCATGTGGATTCGCATTGTATGTATACCTATAGATACATCTAATTCTCAATGCAAGATAGATGCATACCACAAACAACTTTAATTTTAATTACAAATTTGTGAACTAATTTAAAATCTTATTTTAGAGTCTAATTAAGAGACTCACTTCAAAACTTTCCTTAACTGAAATTTTCGCGATAATAGCTTCTAATTTATAAACGATTAAAGATAAAAAGCTTTGTGAAAGTTTCTATTTAGAATTTCCTACTTGTCGATGTTTTGCCACATATTTTTTCTTATACATATAGTCAAGGTGTGTACGAAATTTCTGTAGCTGAAATTAATAAATGAAAATTAATTTAAACAATAGATTTCTTATTATTTAAAGAATTAATATCGACTTGTTTTTTTAAATATCTAACAGTAAATTAGGATACTTACAGTCAACACACGTCCGTGCTCAAATGGTACAGAGAATCAAAAAAGAATTTTTTTTAATTCCCGAATTATAAAATAAATTCTTTTTCCACCCCATATAAAAATTTACATTGACAAGAAATTTTCTTCAAGTTCTCACTTTGAACAGATTACATTAATTCATAAAGAATTTAAAGAAGCGAGTCCTTTTTGAACTCATAACAATCAGCTGTGCTATTTGAGTGCGTTACAGCGTTAAATCTTTATAAAGACATAGAGACTCTTTATGCTTCTTGCTCTTCATAAATAGGTAAAAGTCCCCTATTATGAGATAGAATCCTAATTTGGGATAGCGGGGTTTCTATTAAATTAATAGGCATCGTCAGGTGATTCCACCATCAATTTATTGTCCTTGAAGCGAAATCTATTTGGTAGAAAATTCATTGTTAGATTGTGTAATGGTTGCGGAAAAAAAGGGTGTATTGAATACCTGCTATCTAGCATATTAGAAACCTCTCTCATAATAGAGGATTTTCCTCTGTTGATTATTGAATATTCCTTAGATGCTTTTCCTCGAGGTTCCTTTAGTCGAAAATTCATCAATGACTGTATGCTTTCATCGAAATTATTAGAAACCCGTATCGATATACTATTAGTACACATACGTGCGAGAACACACACAATGTAAAGAACACATATTCAATACTATTATATATATATATATAATACACAAATGTGTGCACTTGACAGCTCGTATGTGCTTATAAGTATCTTACTGAATTACTTTACATGGAATAAATGGAAAAATATTTTCAAGAAACATTTCTATTTAGAGGACGCTATTCAGACTATTTATCAGGATGTTTTAACCGAGATTTGCAATGCATAGACTTTTGATCGCAGACAAAACTTGCAAAAACTTGTACAGTCGGGAGCACTGAGGTTGCGACACTTTTTTTTTTATAAGTTTACGAACGCGCAAAAAAATTCAAGATGCGAATCACTGTCCGCGCTCATGCGCGGTGAGTGATCATGGTGCTGTCAAATTTGTGTATACAATGTGTAACATAAATTTATATGCCACGGCAAATCCATAATAAATAACATGATTATTCAGTTGATTCGTGTTAACTCGCTGTCGGATCAGATCTTTCGCCGGCTTGTCTCTTGGTTATACTAATGAATAATGTAAGATGAATTTTTTTGCGCGTAAACTTATCAAAAAAAAGTGTCGCAACCTCAGTGCTCTCGACTGTACCGTGCATACATACAAGATGAATAAGAATGCGCGAAAGACGAGACTGCAAACATTTCAAATCTTGACATTGACGTGTCGCGTTACATCTTATTAACTCTCGCGTTATCTGGAAAACTCAGTTAGCTGAAAACTCAACTGATAACCCAGTTCAACCATGTTTTTCGTTTTTACATCCACGTTAATTCACAAATCCGAGAACGATCGACTGGATGAAATTGATTCATAGGTAAATA